TTTTCACAGCCATGAATGTCCACAGGAACATTAGAAATTTATGCAGGATTCAGCACATTTTTTCATGTTGTGGGGCTTTCCTCACATCATAAAATGCCTGCTATCTCTGGCTTCTACCCACCCCGATATATTGTGACAACAAAAATACTCCCACACATTTCTAACTGCCACTCAGAACCACTTCCCTAGCACCACTTAAAGTCTATGGATAGCCAAGGGCACTAGTCAAGACCCATCCCACCAAACTCTGTCCTTGGCCAGTTCTGCACCATTGCTGTTCTGCCATTGGGTCACCATGCTGCTTTAATTTTAATCATTTTGTGAGATATTTTAGGTTAGGTTCTCCCAAGAAACAGACTGAGATTTGTACGCAGGTATGGGACATGCTCTAAGAAACAATCCCTGTGTGAGTGTGAAGGAAGCATGACTGGGCAGAAGGAAAAGTTGGACTGCAATGCAGTTACAACTAAAACCACAAATGATCAAATAGGGAGCTAAGAAGCTGAGATGCCCTTCAGAATTGTTCTAATGTGAAACAGTTTTGCTGCTACAGATGCAAATACCGGGTGGGGTAACATTTGTGTAACTATAACTGAAGGAGGTGCTACCTGCAATGTAAAAAATCTTTTGATTTTTCCTGAATTAGTTTTTTTTTTTTTTTTTTTTTAATGAAATAATAGCAGAAGGAAGATGGAGTCTGTCTTAGTCTATTCAGGCCGCTATAGCAAAATACTATGGACTGGGTGGCTTATAAACAACCAACATTTATTACTCACAGTTCTGAAGGCTGGGAAATTCAAGATGCTAACACCAACAGGTTCATGTCTGGTGAGGACCTGCTTCCTGGGCTGTCTTCTCCCTGTAAGCTCACATGCAGAAGGGGCAAGTGAGCTTTCAAGTACCTGTTTGATATGGGTGCTAATCTCATTCATCACCTTCCAAAAGCCCTGCCTCCCAGTATCATGACCTAGGGGTTAGGATCCAAACATATGAATTTCAGGGGGACACAAGCATTAGTTCATAGCAGTATACTCCTTCACTATAATTTGATTATGTAGGGCAGGTGAAATAAGGTAGAATGAGGAAGGTACAAGAGATTTGTAGACAAAGCTCTGTGAAGAACTTTGTTGGTAGCTGACCAATTTTGAACATGTTTATTAATTTTCCTTTTTAAGTAAATTTTTCATATTAAGGAATTATTATAATCCTATTACAGATCAGAAAATTGAGGATCAGAAATTAAGTGAATGTTTTTCAATCTCTTACAGTTAGTAGAAGAGCCTATTTATTCTAATTCTCACCCTTTTGGGACTAGAACCATCTTTCTATATTTTCATATTAAGCAAGATATTAAATTTCAGTAGGAAACTAAAATATTAAGTATGAAATATTAAATCTTCACTATCCCCCTTGCACTCAAGTTCTGGAGCAGGCTCAGCATGGGCTGGATCATCGTCGAGAACCAATGTCAGAGAGAAACCCCACCTCTCTCTGTAAATATACATGTGCACCGAGACATTTCCTGTCTCAAACAGGATCCTGTACAATTAGCTGATAATAGCAAGGAAAGGGACAAGACATTAAATGCCTACCTGTGAGAATGTGCCTAACACTCTCTTTCAATGTCATTTTCAAGAGCCTTAGCATCATTACCTTTTACATTTTTAGTAACAGATCCTAAATCCTTAATGGTCTTTTATAGAGATGGATGTGTCTGATACTTTAAAAACAAAACTTAAATGTCAAAGACATAACCAAATTAATATAGTTAAAAAAATACTTTATAGGTGGAAAATGTTCTAATCCATAGTTTCACAACAGTCTGAGTTTGACAAGAATCAATCTATCAAAGATACTACCAAATTTGGGGTATAATTTAATGTAATGATTATATCCCATTTAGATATGTTTGGACTGGTATGGTCAAAGCCAATAATCTACATTTTTAACATCTTGGGTATGTAGCAGTAGCCCACACTCCAATCATTTTCAAGTCTATAATTGCTTGAGCTTCACTATCTGCTTGGGGCTGGCAATAATATAGCTTGGTTTTGTCCACTGAGCACCTTTATTTATGCAAAGACCCTCTTACCGGCGAGCTCCACGTAGTCCCACCTCCAGGCCCTTCTACCTAAGGATCTTGGGAATGGAGGCCAGGGAACCCTGAAAGCCTTTTGAACTACTAGAAACTAGACTGAGGTGAGTGCGGCACTTACCTTGGGTGCAAATGTAAGGAGGCACCAAAAACACAGTATTGAAGATAAATAATATTTTAACGCAATATTTAAAAACAATTCATGTAAAACCCATGATAAATGAAATATTCAAATTTTAAATATTTATTTTCCTTTTGCCTCAGGTGCCAATATGACCCTGCATAGCAATTATTTAAAATTTTGATTTGATAACACTTTACAATATTCTTGAACTTTCTCCAGCATTTCTCCATCTTTTATTAATGGAAGGGATTTAATGCATTCCAAACCCAAGTTACCCACTTTGTTTCCAAGTCCTCTGAAGTTTGCCCAACACAAGGTGACATGAAACAGAAGCCTGTAAACTTCAAAATATACCTCTTTGACAGCGTTTTGTCCTGTCACTGAGACACGGGTCCTAAGGCAGCAAACAAGCTGTCATTCATATTTACATTTTAATATAAATTTGCATTTCATGTGTCTTTTCTGAACTTTTCTATCACTTTAGAACTCGAGTCTAAAATTATCTCCTGCAGTTCTTGAAATGTGTGACTCATTTTGAAAAATATTCACATAAGGACTACCTTTGCTGCCTGATCTGTGTTCTCTGAAAGACACTGTGAGCTACTTGTAGTTCACCTACTTTTTGTTTATACCTTCATAACACCTCACATGGGCTGGCACATGACTATTGAAAACCCACAATCACTTTCTTCTGGATCCAAGAATGCATCTCTTTGCTTCTTGGCACATGTATCTTTGGAGTTTGTGACAGGACAATCAATGATCTCATCTTTTTCATTGATGAGATGTTACTGATCACTTCTTATAGTTTTACCTCAACTAGGAAATGTTCATGTAACCTTTTAGAAATGTTGCTTTCATCAGTATTTCTCCACTTTAAGGAATCTCTGCTAGCAGAAGAATGTGAAGTTACGCAGCATTTGGAAGTATTATTCAAAGCTGCAGATGACAAACATTTCTTTGAACTCTCATCTCTAAAATGCATGAGAATTTTCATTCTACTACATAATTCATTCATTCAATATTAGGTGCCTATTCTGTGCCAGACACTGTTACAGAGCTACAGTAATGACTACACACACTTCTGTTTGTTTTTAACCTAATATTTACACAATTTAGCAGAAGTAGAAAAAAAATTTCCCAAATCCAAGAGCAAAATTGATCATCCAAATGGGCCAATTATTGCTTTAAATACCACGAGTCATGGTTACACATCCTGGGAAGATGTGTGCTCCAGTTTGAGAAAGTTTTTGGTTAATTCACGGAATACAAAGCCAACAGTAAAGTTAATATTTACTCTGGATGAAAATACTTGGGAGTACCATAAGAACCAGCTTGTCTTCATTTCCATATCATTAGGTTCTGCCTAATTCTGAAAATGACATTCTGAACTGACAAAGGTGGAAATCTACTTCAATACCTGCAGAAAATGTATAAAATTTGACTTTAAAAAAACACAGGTGAGGGGGAGGTGGAATCATTCTTGACACTTCCAAGTGAAGTCTTCATTGACTTCATTGCTTTTCTTAACCTTAACTGAACCTTAAATACATCTGCTGATCAGCTTCAAAAAGGATCTCTCTTTAGGAAATGCAAAATATCACATAACACAAACTTTTGGACTTCTCTCTGCATAAAAATGCTAACATGACTGCCATTCCTTTTTATTGGTCTAGTGTCAAGGCTGGTAAAAAGTATTAAATTCTTCAATAATAGTTTTGTCTTATTTGGTTTTATTATTTACTTATTTGGCGAGGCAACCCTTGGTTGACCTCACAGATTGCAAGGAACTCGTCTGCTTACAATCACTTAATATTTATGCCTACAGCACCTGGTCTTCCTAGGTGGTCTCCCATTCAAGTACTAACCAGGCCCAACCCTGCTTAGCTTCTGAGATCAGACAGCATCGGGCTTGTTCAGGGTAGCATGGCTGTAGACTTATTTGATTTTAATCACAAGGTCTGACTCCAAAAATAAACATGGGATTGATATTGCTGTTTTTGGGTATGTGGTATATGTACTTTTGAATGGAGGCAGCTATTTGTAATAGCACAAGTCATTTCTCATTGTGGTTAAGATTCAATCCTCCAAAACTGCAATGACTAATCCTGACTCTCCTACCTGGAATCCCCAAGTCATTCATTCCAAATTATTATAAAGAAGGTTTCATGTGTGCATGAACGTGGACGTGTGGTTCTCTTATAGACAGTGTACGATCCAAGAATTCGGATCCCTTTGGACTAGTTAATTAGAAACACAGGGGAACATCATGAGATACAAACTTCCTAACTATAGGACAGTGGTTCTTAATCAGGAATTTGTATCACAATCACCTGAGTCACTGGCATGAAAATTCAGATTGAGGCTCAGTATTTATTAACGTAAACTGAGAAAGGCCTTGAAGTACATACCTTTTAATGACTCCACAGATGGTTCTGATTAGAATACTATAATAGGACTAAAGTCTATTTTATTCCTGACTAAAATATGGGATTCTGATTTTGTTAAGATTTAAATTTATCATGCCTGAAGGCTAGAATGCAGGTTTAATGTTCTAATCACCTCAGTCTAATATTTTATATGAATGATAACACTTAGAATCCAAAAGCTACCATTGTTGCCAGTACAGAAATTCTGAGTTATTCCAATTCCTCGTATATAAAACCACACCTGAGCACTGTAGCAGCCTATCTTCAAGTCTGGAGTGAGAGGTAGATCTCTTTTCAATACCAGATGATTTAAATATGTGACCTTCTTCCCACCAATAAGAGGAATTGAACATTTTACATTTGAAATTTTAAGGTCAGTTTATTAAGTTCAATGATGAAAGCTATCAGAAGAATATTCTCCTGAAAATTTTTTTCTTAGAAAAAAAGAAAGGAAAATCAACACCCTCTCAGCATAGCCACAGATGCTGTGGCAGTCAAGCCTCTCTGCAGACAGGGATAATCCATTAGTCGGTCAAGTCACTCTCTGGATCAGCCGGATTGTAGTCTGGATCATCCTCATCATCCTCCAGTTCCAAGTCATCCATTTCCTGGAACAAAGACTCATCTACCTCCACATTGTTTCCAGCTGCAAAAGACAAAAGATAGTTCAAGAACAAGGTTGAAAGGGCAGATGCTAGAGGATCCCCAATTGGCAACATGGACATGACGGAAGACTAATGAAGTGCAGAACTCTATCTAGGGTGCCAGTGGAGGTGTGACAGTATGGAGCACAGTTTAAGAAACAGACGCAGGCCATAAGTTCCATGAGAACAGGGAATTTTTCTGTGCTGTTCTCTGCTGTATATCCTCAGCAGCCAGGACAGTGCTTGGCTTATAACAGGGGTACGGCAGTATTTGTGAATGGATGGATAATGGATAAAGACTGAAACTGGGTAAGAGTTAGGATAAAGAGGAGAAGAAGGAAAGCATAAAGGACTAGATGCTCCAAAGATAGGAGTGGTATGAAATATAAGATTTTTGGTTACAAAGCAAGGGGAGTTACAAATTTGAGGTTTTTATAGAGCTCCATGACAGACCAAAGAATACAGTTTCCATAGATTGATGATGCTAAAAATTTGAGGAAGACAGGTTTCCTAAGTCACAGTGGCCTGGATAACTCATTGTGAGAGGCTAATGTGACCATAATTGTTTATCTATTGCTATCTTTGACTTTGTTTAAGTTATCAGAAAACTTTAAAGAATACGTTACTATAGTTGAATGTGTAAATTGATCAAACGTTAGAATTTATTCTTCAAAATGTATTTCTTTACACCCTTGGGAGGAAAGATTAAGTTATCTTTCTGATTTTCATGGTTTAATATGAAAACCAGTACAATATGTACATGTAGAATTCTAATATTATCTTACCATCCTCCAAGAACTGGATATCGGAAGTGTCAAGATTATGATCTGTTTCAAACAGCTGTTTCCCTAAAAGAAATAAATATGTTTAATTTGAATAGCATAGTTTCCTCTCTCTTCTCTACAACTCTTTAAAAAGTATAAGAACACAAGAAAACAAGTCCGAAAACCTGTTTTTCTATAAATTTCAGTAAGTTTATAAACCCAGCTAAGAGTGTGCATTACAATGGAAAAAGTGATAACCTAGTCTGCCTTAGAGTCCTAGAAAAACAAATGAGTGTGACTCTACTTCTAAGGTTTATGATCCTGAAAGTCATGGTAGCTGGATCTCAAGATCTATCCACTGCAATATTTAGATCAAAGATAATCCATAAATATGAATTATAATTATGCATGAAGATACATCATTATGTAGAGATAATACTTCCTCTTTTTGTCCTAGATGCCTAAGTATATTATTTTCTTATAGAAATCTGTCCAAATGATTCTCTTGCTATATAAAGAAGTAATGCGGTGCAGAGGGGTTTGGGGAAATGAAAATAGGGAGGAGTCATACCACTTAATTTATTTTTTCCTGCTTGCTCTTCTTCTTTCATTCGTTTCTTTTTAATTTCCAAGAGTTCTGCATCAAACTTGGCCTTCCAACTTAAGAAATTCTCAATTGTAACAGGTGTACCATGAAATAATTGCTTAGAAAATAAAAAAGACATGTCACCAGATAAATGAGATAAGTAAAAAAAAAATAAGACCTAATAATCTAGACAAATGAATCTGGCCACTTAGAGGAAAAGCACAGAAAAAAAATTTTCAAGTTTTGAAATATTTAATCTGATTTCTGCCTACACTGGCTACTCTCATTGGTTTTGGCCATCTACTCCGGAAAAGTCCATTTTTAATTTTTATTACAGAAATCAAAGACAATATGCAATGTATCCCCATTGATATTCACTACTAAAAAGAAAGTTGTTTCTGTCATTATTCATGTTTTGAATACACATCAATTTACAACCCTAGCACACAGCTTATCTTTCCACTTCAGCTCAGAATTGGACGATTTCTTTACTTGAGGAAATACAGTCGTGTGCTGCCTAACATTTAGATCATGGATGGACCAACTACAGCAGCCGTCCCCAATCTTTTTGGCACTAGAGAGCTGTTTGCTCTCTCACCCGCCTCTCACCTCCTGCTGTGTGGCTCGGTTCCTAACACGCAAGGGACAGATATAGGTCTGTGGCCCGGGGGGTTAGAGACCTATGACCTACAGGACATTGGTTCCATAAGATTATAATGGAGCAAAAAAATTCCTCTTGCCTAGTGACATCAGAGTAGTCCTAATATCGTAGGGCAATGCATTACTCATGTGTTTGTGGTGATGCTGATGAAAACAAACCTACCATGCTGCTAGCACATACAATTATGTACGGTACATACCTGATTATGATAGTAAACAACTGTTACTGATTTATGTATTTATCATACTATCCTTTTAATCATTATTTTAGAGCATATTCATTCTACTTATATTTGCTATAAAACAGTTGACAGCAGCCTCATACATCTCAAGTTTACTGCATCATTTCTCTTATGCTTGATTTAATCTTGTGTTGTTTTACAAATTTAGTGTAACCTAAATGTAGTGTTTATAAAGTCTGCAGTAGTGTTCAGTAATGTCATAGGCCTTCATCTTCACTTGCTATTCACTCACTGACTCACATAGAGCAACTTCCCGTCCTGCATGTTCCATTCACGTTAAGTGCTCTATATATGTTTACAATTTATCTTTTATACCATAATTTTATTATACATTTCCTATGTTTTGATATAGAAATACTTATTTATTACATACATAAATTATGTTATAACTGTCTACAGTATTTGGTACAGTAACAAGGTGAAGCAATAAGGCTATATCATATAGACTAGCTATATAGCAGGTTATAACATCTAGGTTTGTGCAAGTGCACTCTACGATGGTCACATAATGAAGAAATAACCTGATGATGCATTTCTCAAAACATATATCATTGTTAAGCCATGCATAACTATATCTAAATCACCTTGGTGAGGACTTTATAATTTCAAACTCTATACCATAAGCGAAGTAATTTATATTTCTTAATCTTAGCAGCATGAACTTTATTAACTTATATTAACTGATTATTAATCATTACTTGTGTTATGCCACAAACTAAATGAAATACTTCTAAAATTTTACTCAGTAAAGCTTACAAAAATTTACTTTGGTTTATTTTTGTGATTTCCAAAAAAGTTACTGAAATTTTCAAAAATAAAAAAAACAAAAAACAAGAGAACCAAATAACCAAAAAAACCTAAATTTGGAAAATAACGAAAGAAAATACGGCTTTTAATATACCTTTTCAGCTTCTTCTGCTTCTTTTTCTTTTTTTTTCTTTTCTTCTTCTCTTCTAGTTTTTATTTGATCTACTATTTCATTTAATTTTTCTTGCACAGCTGTTACTAAAGTAAAGATCATCACCATACCAAGGTTTTCTTCTGCCTATGTAACCAAAAAAAAAAAAAAAGGGGTTGTAGTGAAAAGCACACTTCTCAGAAAAATTAAACAACTAACCAATAAAAAAGTGTTTCAGCATAATCACTAAACTCCATACATTTACAATATGATTACTAATTCAGCTACACTGTAAGTTTAGACACTTGGATAAATGATCATTTAAGAATTGAGCATTATATAAATAACAATATCTTAAGTCTGAAAAGTCATGTGATTTGCTATATCCAACCTAAAACATATATTTTAGTAACTTCTGTTTAATAATTATAAATGTAGGTAGAATTCAGAAAACCTTTCCTACAGTAGTTAGCAACATCAGTTCTCCAGCATGTTTTCATTATTTTAGTTCCTTTGGGTATTTTAAGAGCTGTGACAATGAACTGAACTTTGAAGCTAAAGGAATTTTCTAACATAGTATAAAAATAAAGAATGTAGTTACTTTTGTGATTTACCTTTATCTATCTTTTTTTCTTTTGATTTTTCATAGTTTAAAACAAAATATGAAACCACTTCTGACTCATGAAACGGATATAATTTAAAAGCTACTTGGAAATTGGTCATTTGAAGGCAGAATAAAATAAAACGAGATTATCTTATTTATCCATAGAAATAAGATAAGCGTTCCAAGGAAGCAGACAGAAAGAAAAAAAAATCCAAAATATACAAGCCAGAATCTCTGTCCTAGAAGCAGAAGAGATTTCCAAGTCTTCCTTTGACAGGGCTGGCTCAGCAGCATTTGACTGACATTTTATCTCCTGGTTCTCCATGAATATTAGGTTTCAAGCCAGCTCCTATAATCCTCTTCAACGGAGCTTCTCTGTGGTGTTTCCATGCTAACCATCCTAAATCTGACTCTCTAAGCAAATCTCTCTCCTGAGTGCCAAACCCATACAAAAACGGCCCCACTGCACAGTGACTTGATGTCCCACAAGCATCTCAACACAGAAACCATCCATTTTTTTCCACAAAGTCTATTTCTAACTTCTCCACCTCAGAATCATACCACCATCCACCCAAATGGAACATTCCCATTCCATCCTAAGCTCTATCACTGGCTCTTATCTATTCTTAGATATTTAAATTTACCTACTGTACTGTATCAACACTATCATCAGGACATCATCATCTTCAGCTTGGAATATTACAAGAAATTCCTAACTGGTCTTCTTAAAACCTCTGGTCTTGTCACCCGTGACATAAACTTCTCTGATCAGTCAATGTACACACAAAACTGATTTAGTCAGACTCTTGCTTAAAAACTCCTCAATAGATTACCAAACTAATCAGGAGTGAGACCATACTGTCTAAACAGGTTAGAAGACCCTTTGGGAATTAACCTCTTCAATTCCATCACATATAACCACCAACCTCAAATTTGAAGCTCAAGTAATTTAGTATTCTGGAAAAGAAATAATGATTTCTCTTCTCTGTCATTTCCATGCCCCTTAAACAAGCTTGTTCCTCTACTCTGAAACTTTCTACTCACTTACTGCTTGGCAAACTCTTTCTTCAAGTCTCAGCTTCCTCTTGGAAGCTTCTCCAGTGCCTCAAATCTATGTCCACTCATATAATTCTATACTGCACCCACCACTGCATTTTTCACACGAGATAATGATATCCAGTTTGCTAGCCCATATTACTCATCAGAGTATAAAAATCTATGAGAAAGGGTATTGTGTCTCTCTTGGTCAGTTATCTTAATGCTTGATACATTTCAAAAACAAATCCCAGTAGAATCTCTTTTTAAAAAGTTAAGTATTCCAATAGGAAAGCAAAAACAAACAAAAAGAATCATTCATATGGAAAATAGACAACTAGAAGTCATATGAAAAGATTTCCACATCACCAACTAAAGAATTTTAAATTATGAATATACTATTTTCATCTTGTCATCATTTTTTTTCTTTCTAAATGTGGGCTGACACTCCCAGTGGCTTTAGTGGTACAATTGTTTTGAAAGTGTGTATGAAATTAAGTATGAATAACCTTTAATCCAGCAACACTAGCTCTAGGTAAGACAGGACTAGTATGCTCATCAGTAATTCATTCTTTAAATTAAAAAATATATATTTGAGTGTCTACTATGTACCAGGTACTGGGCATTCAATGGAGATTCTGCTCTATGGATTTGCAAATAGTGATATATAAAAATGTTCAAAAAAATCACATATTAAATCCGGCAAAACTGAGAAATAATTTTGTTTCAAAAAGGATGTGTAATTATACATACATAGAGTGAAATTCTATATAGTTATCAAAAATGATTCAGATATATATTTACTAAAGTGGACGGATGCCCAGGATTAGCATAAATTCATGTCTGCTATATCTTCTTTCATTCTTCATTCTCTAATAGCTCCAGATATTTAAAAAATATCAGCCTTCAAAAGACCAATAGTCCTTGAAATACACAAGTCGTGTTTAAGGTGGAAACATGCTTCCTGTCAATTCTTCTTAGAACAAACAACACTAGGACTTCTGATTTTATGACAGAGAGTAAAGATTTCACTTGCGCTACCTACTCCCTACTCTGAAGAACCCACGAAAAACTTCTACCCAAGCAACAGACAGTTTAAATACCTGCCAAGCCCAGAGTGTGGGTAGCCCATTCCAGAATAGAACTAGCCAAATAAGAATTTTCCAATACTAATTTTTATTTTCACATAACCTCCTTTCTTGGAGGAGTCATAAACAATTGTTGCTGTTTGTAAGCTTCGGGAGAAGGGAAAAAATAAATCAATCACCGGCCCTCTTCCCAGATTGTAGGCAACTGACCTACAACAGGTCAGAGGAATTGGAAGTTTTAACTTTTTTGAAAGCTGGAATTTTTAACTGCACATGGGATTGGATATTTTGACAACAAAATTGAAGCTGTGTTTATAATGGATATGAAGTGGAATTTTCATTCAAAAGGCTAATCAGCTCTCTGTTCTGCTTCTGTAAATATGCTTGCTGCATGTGCTATACTTGAAACTAAAGACTCACCTTCTCTTTGCTTGTTCTGTCTAAGCAACAAATTTAACTGTTTGTACCCCCTAGCAACTCCCACACTTTGTAGCACTTTGTAACTGCCAGTAGCCCAGAGCAATTCCTACCCTTATAATGCAATGTTACTACCTGCAACCACAGCAACCACAGCAACTACCTTCGCTTTGTAGCGGCCTGAATTCAAATTATCCAATCAGGCCATGCCAAAAAGGTCTATATAAGGGATGTTTCAACTGAGCTCCCGCCCCAGATCTTGAGAACACTAGCTCATCTGGGTCCACCGGCGTCATAAACCTGAGTTCTCCAACTCTCCGAATGCTGCTTGGTTTCTTGCTGGTCTGATTTTAGATCTTTTCCCCAACAGGTCATTTATACATTCATTCGTTCGTACGTACGTACGTACGTACACACACACACACACACACACACACACACACACACACACGAATTCTGCTTGTTCAGTGTCCCAATTATACATATTTAATAGCATTTTCTGACCCTAGAAGTTAATATATAATACTTAAGGCTAATAGAATAATGCTCTAACAAAACTTGTTATTTCCTTACCTGTAATGCCAATAATTTTAAAATGCCTGAGACATCATTATCTTCTAGATTTTCCTGGGAGAATATTTCATAAAGCGGGGCTTCATCTGGGTATTTTTCACTGTAAGTAAACTTGAGGGTAGTCTGGACGGCTAACGACAAAAGATAAGAATTTGATATGAATACCTTAAAATACACAGAGAAGTCAACATCTTGGTTAAATCAGTGATTAATTTACAATGTGTCAAGAAAAGCAGAACATAGTTTCCTGCAAAGAAAAACGAAGTGAGACCAGACAGATAATCACGAATACAAACAACACATACCACAAATATAAGTGAAAATAAATCACAGGAATACCAAAAAAACACTCTAACACATGAATGCATTACTGCTTGTTAGTACTCTATCACACTGCATGTCTGAGAAAAAGGACGGACAAAGTCACTCTTTTTAAAACACTCCTTAAGATGGACAAAAGGCACTGAATATAACACAGAAAAAGTACTATTGGGCTTATTTTCAGGCCTCTACATGAGCCAGTTCCCACTGTAGAAGTTCTGGCTATGGTCCTGGAGTCTATATTTCTATCTGCACAATGCCAGCAGGGGGTTGCTGAGGGGTTGCTAGATGACGTGGTTTTGAACTGAACAGTCTAAGAGGCTGTCTGAGAAACTTTTATCCTGACTCATCTATACATTCTCACTCACTCTTTGACCTGTGCCAATTCACAGATCTTACACTTGTATAGGAGTGTGATTCTTATAGGCACATCATTACAAGCTATCTCTCTGCAGCCCAGTCTAGTGAATTCTCAATTCCACCAAGCAATCTGCAACTAAGTCGATGTAATAATAATCATTTTCTGTTTAAAACTTATTAGCCATTAGCCACCATGATCCTTTGTCTAGATTTCGCCTTCCTAGTAACTCATGTTTTAATTATTAAAACCTCCTGATTTTGATGAATTTTAATCAAATTTAGATTTCTCTCTACCGGAGGAAAAAAAAACACCTTAAAATGTGCTGGTTTGACATTTTCTTTCAATTTTTGTGTATTATGTCAACAAAGTATTTTACGAGTTAATGGATCTAAGAAAAATTGAGTGTTAGGGTCAATAAGAAATACAGTGTCTTTTGGTATTTTTCTTTCTTTTTTTTACTAATATGTTTCTAATTTTATTGCTAAAAAGTTTTTGAAAAAATTTATTGATTCTACTATATGATGTAACAAACATTCATTATAAAAAGTTAGGAATACACTAAGGTAAAAATAAATCAATAATAATCCCATCATCAGGAAGAGTTCACTGTTACCATTTTGGCATATTTAAATTATCTTTAAAGTATTTTTAAAAGGATGTTTTAAAATATCTTTCTATGCATATCTTTACATTTTAAACAAAATATAAAAAATTGCTCATGTTGTATTTGAAATTTTATATATAAACATATATAAACATCTACATATAAATGTACTATATGTAAATAACTGTATCCAACATCCTTTTAATTCAGATTTCAGTATTATCTCTCTGACGCCTCATTTTCAGTTGTACAAAACAGACTTAGAGTTATCAAGTGATACCCCTGAAATTGGTATTACATGGCAGAATTTTAGTTGACTAGCTTAATGGGTAAAAAAATCCTTGAGGTTAACATCAACTTACATAATGTTTTTATCAAATTATAATATTAACTGAACTGGACTAAAGGTAGAAATGAACTTCAGACACCCCCTGGCCCTGCCCAACATAGGCCAAGTTTAAATTAACTTACTAGTTTTATATATGCTTTATTTCAATTTGTATATTTGTCTTAGTTTTATGGTTATATAATAGTTGTTTTACCTGGTTTTATACATATATATTTAAATAATAGTAAAAAATCCATCCTGAACAGAGAAGGAGTAAAACATACAGACAGGTGTTTATCCAGCCTAATTTATAACAGCAGAAATCCAGTAAACAATCTAAAAGTCCAAAGACTAAAAACAGTCATGGAAAAATAACAATTGATCAATGGAATACCAGACAACCACTGAAATATGTGTGCATGCAAAGTCGTGTTTTGGCCAAAAATCTTTTACCCTTTCTCCATGTGTTGAATTGTTAATGTTTCTGTTTTACTTTTAAATATTAAGCTTTTTGTGTCAGAATGTATCTCACTGACTCTCTCTCTCTTTCTATAGAAGTCATGTTTATACAGTACAGACAAGAAAAACAAAACGCTCTACTAGATTCTTAACAGCACCTTAGCATCTCTACACCTGCCATGCCTGCATAATGAGTAAAATTCCTAAGGGAGGCTTAAAAAAACCCCAAGTAGTTTTGCTTAGACTTACTTTCATCATTTTCTCCAGCCTCAGATGTCACAGTAATGGTGAAGCTAGTTGGATTTTCTGATAATACTGCAAGAAAATATACACAAACGCTAAGTTATTAAGATGCTTCCTAACACAGACTGCTTTTCCTTATTAGCAAAATATCACTGCCCAGTCTGAGAAACTGATTCATAGCCTGAATTTCCATTTCCACAAATACAAACTAAAGATAACATTCAAAGGATAAAAGATATCCATCAATTTTCTATTTGAATATCAGGTTGTCTTTATTCTGGAAATACCTATAGTAGATACCCTCCTGGAGTTTTATCAAATTAATTAAGTAATTTATCTTTTAATTCAAAATTTCCACCTATAGATGGAAGGTTACATTCTAAAGTATTCTAAAAGGGAATGACAAAAAAAATTTGACGTTTCTCAATAAAAACTACCCACTGATAAATATTCAGTATCATCACTAATTTTTATTCTTAAATTTTCTGAAATATAATTCAGAATCTCCATGACAAACAGTAAATATTAATTTGTTAGAGTTTGTGTCTTCTAGCTATCTCTTTCTCCCACATCATCTCTAGAACCAAACTTTATTCTTTCACAAATTATTGAGCCTCTACAATCTTTCATGGAATTACAAAATTAGCCATAAATCCAAATATCATATTGCTTACAATTTGTTAAACATGACATGACACATAAATCAACATTTACACAAATAAGCTTTATATACCATTTTACATCTCTCTTTTGATACTATATATCTGTTTATTATCCATTCCACAAGAATACTACAGAGACTCTATGAGAGCTCCTAGATCAGTACCTGGCAGTATGTAGAAACTCAATACATTTTGGCTCAATGAAAAAGCTAAACTAATAAAATGAAAGAAGAAAACCCAAAACAAGGAAAACTTGCATTCAGAACCATTATAAGAATAAACAAGGAAAATTCAGGCCACCCATGATAAGTCCTGAATCCGTGAGAAATACCTGTGCCTCACTCCAGGTGTGGAAAGCACTGGCCTCTGTCAAGGTTGGTAGAAATGAAAGAGTGAAGGGATTCATGGAGAAGTCACTATGAAAACTACTCAGCTTTTCCTCCTCCAGAACTTCTGAGGCCTTCATAAGTATTCACGAATATTCAAATTTTCAAGACATATGTCTTCATTTTAATTGAAGTTTAAAAGTGCATGAAGCAAAGATGAACCTCTATAATTACTAGAAAGGTGGTATTTGTTGGGAAGATAAAGACTCATTGGATTTACATTTTCATATGCCTCAGGCAGGCCAGCCCAGCTGAAAAAGTCCATGAAAGGAAATTATAATAAAGCTTTTACAATATGATCAGCCCTACCTTTTTTTAAAACAAATGTGTGTAAAATTATGTATTTCATTCCTAGTTCTTTTCATAACCAACTTTAGCATTAACACGTAATGAAATGTAAACACTGCAACTACAGAAATAAAGATTTAACTGAATGACATTCCAACTTATTTTCTAGAGATCACCTATAGCCAATAACAAGAGCTAACATTTATTGAGCATTACTTTGTGCCTGTGCTGTGCCCTGCATTTACAAAGAAATCTGTTAATTTTCACACGAAGATCATGATTTTATACTGCTACCACATTTCACCAAACTTAAGAGGCCATGAAGTATGAGATTAACTCTATGTACCACTGAGAAAGAAAAAAAGCTGCTGTGCTGTCAATCACTTATCTGATATCTTTTCGCAACACACTGAGCTTCTAAAAATTGCATATGGTAAATGAGGACAAGGGGGTGCTAGCAAGAACATCACTGAACTGCCTAACTTTGGGAGCCTGATAGAATAAGGAGGCAAGATGAACAAGAAAGAAGTGACAAACTATAAATCCAGGCATGTTCAATAAAAGCATGGGAATGAAAGAACTGTAGGGCTAAAAAGTTACTGAACAGAAAGAGGAATTTCAGAGGTCAAAATTTTGAAGATGGCATTTCCAAGGTGCGGCTATACCCCTATACAGTTGAAGCAAATGGAAATCAAAACCGTTTGTTGATAAAGACAAGAAATTATGAAGCCACATTAGAAGAATCAGCAATAACTATGGTAAATATCTAGTAAAGAGTATCTTATATTTAACAGTTATAAAGTATTTATATTTACATAATTCTTCATTAAAGAGATATGAAAATTGAGGATTGGAGATTATTGATTTGTCTAAGGACATAGAGCTAATAATATTCACTACACCAGGCAGCCATTGTGAACCAGGAACAACAAAAAAGGGATATTGGAGAACACTGCTAACTAATATCCCCCAACATCCACTCTCCCCTTCTTCCAGTTACACCATTTTTAATTGAGCATACTGACTATCCAGAATAAAGACTACATTTCCCAGCCTTCCTACCAGTTAGGTCTCACCAAAAGACTAAGATCCAGTTGATGAGATGGAAGCAAATAAGTCCTCTGACAGTTTCCAGGAAATTTCCTTAAGAAATACTGTCTTTTCCCCCCCCCCCCCATCCCCGCCCCCCATCATTCCTTTAGCTATCCTACTGCCTGGAAAAGGAATGCTGCCATCTTAGGGGTGACAGAAAACTAAGAAGCCTGAGTCTTTGAGGAATTCTTAGACTAGAGTTATACAACTACCTTTTATATGCAAGAGCAATAAACTTTCACCTTTTTAAAACCAGTCATTTGAGATTTTATGTCACAGCTAAACTCAATTTACACACACACACACACACACACACACACACACACACACACACACACCATGGAAAGGGATAATATTACAAAGCTTGGAGGTGACTAAAATAGAGATGAGAAAGTTACTTAATTAGATTTGCAAAGATGAATGATTCTGAGTTATGATGAAGAAATAATCCCATTCCGGTGCATTACTATTGAGTTGGGGTAAACAGAGGAAAGATTAGCCTTCACTAAAGATACTAGATTTAAGTGTATCAAATACTTTTAAGAATAAGAGTAAGGTTGTTGTGCATAGTGGAAGGAATCAGTGGAGGGGCAGAAGTGGTAGGTGATACAGGGGAAGATGAGGTTAAACTGGACAGAATTAAGATTTTGTCAAGAACAGAGATAATGGGGATAGAGGCTGAAAGGTACACTAAGGGGACACATAAATGACATTAAGGTTTTCACTAAGAACCAGACAGCTCATATTAAAATAAGTCCCTTTGGTTCTTAGGAAGTGTCTGTCTTAGAAAAACTGTTTTTACCATATGACTTCTGCCCCATCTCTAAGCCACAATTATGTTAAATGCTCATGGCTGCTACTTGGAGGTAATATAGGATTACGTACCCCTCTTTTTAAGACCAAACAGAGTTAAGGGAACTTGACTTTTGGTCAGCCTGAAGCAAGAGATTTTGATACATAAATGGAAATAACCAAATTCTACTACCTTAGCAGGATCTTGTCAAGTGAGGCACTACTGAAGATGAATGTGTTATCAGGAGAATCTGTTTATATTTTGGAAGACTAGTTGTTAGAAGGATTGGATCAATGTGCAATCAAGCTATAGAACAGACAAAATGAAGAAACTGTATTATGATTTGTTAAATTCACAAAAAATGCAGCACTGGACCAACAATTCTTTTCAAATAGTCAAGCAATCAATTCTGAGGTTAGGCTAGGTCTATGTGGCTAGGACTACGGTCTGGTTGGATTGTGCCTCTTCAGCATCCACAAAGGGGTCATGATGTGTTGAACAAAGGCTTCTCTGGTAAGCATTCAGCCACTAATTTTTTAAAAAAGTATTTCTACTTCCTTCATTAACAGCACTGAGCATTTACCAAATCCAATATTAAATGTAATTCAATACATAGTTAGAAAATGACCAACTCATGTTCCTCAGCAAACTAAAACAAGCAAGCTCTCCTTCTTAAAACTGGTATGAAATTATGAAAGTATGAAATCATTAACACAAAAGAAGGCTTTAAAACAGTAAACCTTGCAAATCCTCAAGATTTCGAAAGATCAAACACAAAAACATTTGTTCCAAAGTCCACTGCCTTTTCCTTGAGATGTTTCATAAAGAACATGGTAAGAGTAAGGCAAAGTTCTTAAAGAACTATAATCAAGACATCTCAATTTAATTTATTTATTGCAAGGCTTGTAGGAATGTTGATAGGAATTAGAAACAGATGGGTTCAGCTGATACTGCCGAATACTTGCCTACATCGAAGATTCATAAATTCTTTTACTACCTTGACTCGAAATCCTCAAGCACTTCTGCATCTGAACTATATCACATACTGAGCTATATGAGAACCTAGGACAACTTGAAAAGAACCACGAGATTGTTTCAGGGTTAAAAATGCATCACTTTTACAAAGGCTTATATGAATAGTATGTAATGAGGAATATTTTATGTCCAAAGAAGTGAAAAGAACAGCACATCTTATTCTTTCTTAACTCTGCCTACTACATGCCTGTTATATTTCCAATATACTAAAAATGACCATATGTCTCGATTAAAAATATATCCAACAACTGACCCTCTATTCTATTTAGACATTGACATATAAGCAAGGATAGAGAAGGGAGCCAGACTCCATACACACTCACCCAGTTCATGACACTCTCAAACCCCTCTTCACTCATCCCCTTAAAATCCTCACAGCACTGCTGTACTGCTGGTGAGAGAGAACATGAACAGGACTGGAGCTATACAGGGTAGCTGAGAGACATCTGCCTGTTGGCAAAGCAGAACAAAATTTGCTACCATTGCAAGCAGTAGTCAAAAAGAGGAGCTAAGAAAACTACGCTAAACAATGAAAGGGAGAGGGTTTGGAGCTTATAAGTTAAAATAACATACCTTACACTCTTAATTCTGACAATCAATGATAGACAACACTCAAAGAAAGGGATGGGGAACATAAATCCCACAAATCTAGCTTTATTTGATCACTTCTTATTGGCTTTATTTAATCACTTCTCAAAAACTGAGTGTAATGTGGAAGAAGCAATATTGATATGGTTATCTTGCTGCATTTTCAGAATCATCTGAATGAAGCATTGCTTAATACAGAATTCTCTTCCTTTAAGACAGATCTAAGGAATTCCTCAATATTTTTCATTAGCCCAACCTACCAAGGAATCTTCTGCTCCCCCTCATCTCAGCTAAAAGTAGATATCAAGTCCCACATGTCTGGAGGTGAAGGAACAGGAAAGGAGTTCCAGATTTAACTAACGCTTAGCACCAGTCCTGGCGCTAACTTGCTGGCCGACCCAAAGCAAGCCACTTACCTTTCCTGAGCTTCTACTGCCTTGCTTGTAGCAAGAGTAGGAGCAAGAGGATGTCTAACATCCTTTCCAGTCTAACAACCTGTGAATCCTCAGTGGAACTGAACTTTGGGCCACATCATTCATTGGGCATTCTGCAGAATGCCAGAATAAAAAAGAAAAAGAAAGAAAAGAAAAAGAAAGCAAGAAAAGGACAAACTTCAGAGACAATGCTACTCAGTCTGATTCTGGGTAACCTGCACTCTGAATCCCATAAGCTTTAAAACAGCTTCATAAGAAAAAGAGATTGTACCTGAATAAAGGTGAAAATGTGAAAACTGATACCTCTTTGGTCTGGAAAGATTATCTCCACTTGCAATATCTGTTTTCGTGTTATTTCACCAAATCTCAGGTTGCTGTTAAATTACACAGAAACCAAAGTGCCCCTGATTCAATTTCAGGCCTGACACTCTCCAGGGACCTCGCTAGCCTTGCCCGGACTTCTAGATTTCAGGGAACTAGCGGAGAAAGGAAAACAGCGGTGAAGTTAAGTGCATGAATGTTTCGGGAAAACTTGAGGAGACAGTGGCGGCTGATGTGGCCACGCGGCCTCGCTGTCCCCTTCTCCATCCTGGCCTGCCGAGGGCCGCGGCAGCTCCGGCCCATCCCACTCCACCCCAGGCGGCTGCGGGTCCGCGGCCGCGCAAGTCCTACCGGTGAAGGAGTCGGGGTAGATGGCCTCCAGAGCCTCCAGCTCGTTGCGTTGCTCCTCGCAGTAATCTGTCATCGTGGCCCTCGCCGCTGCCCATGGATCGCCCAGGTACCCAGGCGGCGTGCTGCACGGGGACCGCGGCCGCGCCGGGACGGAACGCAGCGGCCGGCGAGCGCAAGCGCAGAGTCCCCGGCTGGGAGGCCCGGGGCCCAAAGCCAGGCCGGGCCTGCTGAGCAACGGCCTCGCGCCGGCTCCGCCTGCTCCCTAGTTCCGCGTTCGACTCGTTCGGCCTGGCCAGCGGGGCTCTGAGAGGCCGCCGGTCCCACGCCCGCCTCGGATTGGCGGGGAGGGTGAAGGCGCCCGGTCTGGCATTCGTCACGGACACCTAGGGTCGGTTCCTGGGCTTTGCAGGGCCGGAGCCGGGGAAGCCCCTCAGCTGGGCATCCTCGCTCGATGTGTCTGGGCTGAAGGACGGGCTCGCGCGCCGGGGCGGTATAGGGCGGCGGGTGGAGGCACCGGCGACAGGGGAGGGGGGAGGCGCGGCGACTTTCGTCGTTTCCGGTTTGCAACTCTGCGTCCTGGTGGGCCCGACACATGTGTCTCCCAGGGTCGGCTGCAGTGGGGTCCCGGTGCTTCTACGCTTCACCAGCCTCCGGGGCCCGTGGCCCACGGCAGTCGGGCGAGAAGCGGAGAACGGTGTAGGGTCCAGTGAGCAGAAGAGCAGGAGCTCTGCTAGCTCTGCTAGTGCGTCCCGCGGCCCGGAAGGGTCGGCTTAATTGCTGAACAGCCAGGCCAAGTGGATCCGGGGAGAAATCGACTAGAAGTCCGGAGATCTGGGTTCTAGATTCAGATTTCTAGGCTTCACTTTTGAATTTGTAAAATGAACGCGGCTGGATAAATTTAAGGACGTCTGTGATTGCGTATTTCTGTGAATTGATGAAGGGTGGAAAATCTACAATTCAAGATCCTATGTATACTGTAGACAGATATGTGGAATCGGACTTCAAAGTTAACCAATCAGACTTCAGAGTTAATTAAAAATGTGATAGGACAAATGTGTTTGAAGATCTGCATGTAGGCAAATGGTGTAGCGAGAACAACCATCATAGGATCTGGAACCAGAAGTGAGAAGCCCTTCCTTAGCCATTTACAAACTGTATAAGCTTACAAGATCATTCCAATAGGCTGAAATAATGTACACAAAAGTAGATTGCAAATTCTAAAATATACTATCAGTGTTATTAGTGATTTTTAAAATATATATAATATCCTCTGAAGCACTTCTGTTTCCTGTTGCTATTCTCTGTTCATCCTTATTGCTAAAAAAAAAAAGTTCCTAAGAGATTCATCTTAATTGTATTCATCCAAGTTTCTTCTGCAGGTAATGCTAACTCACAGTAGCTATTTCCTAATATTATCAGTCTTTAAAATTTGTTTCATTGTTTATTTTTACCTTTCTGTTTCTATGAGTTTTCTAGGCAATCTCACCAGTCTCAGAGATGCAGAATTGAGAATGCCCTACTTAAAGGTTAATCTTAATTCTGAAACAGTTCATGAGGCTAATGTTTCATTTAGTTAGGTGTCTCAAAGACTCATCAGCAAACACAAATACAAACAGCCATATGAATTCTAATTTTTCATAAAATGAATTCCCTTGAAGGGAAGTGGATCTGCAGATCACTTTTTGTAGCCTAACTGATCTTGCTTCCACTCTTATCTTCTACAGTCTACTTTGACTCAACACAGCAGCCAGAGTGATCTTGCTACAATGTAAATCAGTTCACATTACTCCTTTGCTCATAACGATTAATGCCATGTGTTTATAGTATAGGCTCTATCGCATTTGGGCCCCTGACCCTCAAGCAGCTCTTGTTACCTCTCTGACCTTATCTCTTATTATTCTGCCACTTATTCTCTGCTCCAGCCATACTAGCCATGTCGCTGTTCCTCAAACATGCAAGGCAGGTTCTCCTAAGGTCTTTGCATTTTCTGTTCCCTCTGCCAGCAGTGCTCTTCATCTCATACCCCCATGGCTTACCTTCACCTCCTTCAAGTCTTTCCTCAAATGTAACTTTGTCAATGAGGCTACCAACACCCTGTCCCCTTTACCCTATTTTATTTTTCCCATGGTACTTTAAGTTGTACCAGAATTACTTATGTTTATTTTCATTCATATCCCCCCTTCTCTACTAGAATATAAATTCTATAAGGGTAGTTATCTTTCTTTAACGTGTTTTAGCACATAAGACAGTTTCTGAGACAGCGTAGGCACACAGAAAACATATTCAGTGAACTAGTAAGTGAATTCAGTGGAATGGTAACATGGTATGGTTCTAAAAGCACTAGGCCAAGGGGTAATAAGACTGATTTACAGCCCTTCTTTTCAGTTAATTTACCATAGAAATTTAGACGAGACACACTTTCTGGGTCTCAGCTTCCCCATCTATAAAATGAGGGAGTTAAGCAAAATAATCTTCAAGATACTCTCCTGATATGAGGATCTACAATTCAAGATCCTATGTATACTGTAGGCAGATATGTGGAATCAGACTTCAAAGTTAACCATTAACATCTCTGATCCAAGGTGTCATGGCCAAAAGAGTGTATCTATGGATGGAGTTGTTTACTTTATCAGCCTTGACGCTAATATTCTTGAGCCATATAGCAGATGGTGGCCTCAATTCTGAGCAACAATAAAGTAGGGACAACACACGAGTTTTAAGTGAGGGTACACTTCTGACATTACCTTGCATGTAAGGGCAAAGTATGAAGTGGGCAGACAAGAAATAGCATTTGTCCATGTTCCTTTTTGCTCACCCTAACAATGACTGTTTTGATCATTTCAATCTTCTCTTTGGCTTTTCCTTTTCCTCCCTATTCCCCCTTCTCTTCCTCTCCCTCTCTCTACACATACACACTCCTTTGCCATGGATTTGAAAGGGACTGGGTGGAGAAGGAGGAGAGATAATAAAAGAGCAAAAGAGATGAAAGAAGATGGGGTTAGTGAAATGTAATATGAATTACTTAAAATGGATAGGAAGATGAACTTGAGAGTTAAAATGGAAAATTAACATTTAAGTCAAATCACTTTTTTGGCATCCTGACAGAAAATTTAGTGCAGGTTTTAGTCAGGGATGCCCCTAAGAGTATGCAGGGTTCTGGGCAAACATTTTTGTGAGGTCTGTGTCTATATAAGCAATTTCCTTAAAAGATGTATTTTAAAAATTTACGGGCCCATGTAAGACATAGTGATTTACTGATGAAGATTTAGAATGACAGATAGAGGCACTTACGCATTTGTTTATTGTTAATCATTGTGCATGAAGATTCTCCGTTGTGTCCATGCACCATCTCTTCTTGTTCAGGTTGAAAAACCATCTCCTCACGTTCTTTAATGTCAAATGAATTGTTCCTGTCTTATTTCGTATTTCTCACCATTTAAAAAAAAAGTAGCAGAGCTGTTACTACACACATGCTATGGCTCTTTGTAATTTCTGTTTAAACACCATATTTCTTTTCGCCTCTGCAGTATCTTAATGCCGTTTATGTAATGCTGATCACATTGTTACTCATTAAGCTCCATCATCCATCATGCTCATCCTGAATACTGGCTTCCAATGGTTTTCTCAGAGACTGTGCTCTCCTGATGATGACCACAAATGCAAGTCTTACTCAGAGTATGCAGGAAAATGGGAATGATCATTTGTTTTCTAGTTATGTTAAACTTACCTCACATCTTCCAGCCATGTCTCATTTTGATTTCTTTAGACCATAATCACTGAGTTCCTAGAATGGGATCTCTTTCCATGTTGGCTGTATCCAGCCTTTCACACGTTGCCAGGGAAGACAAGACAGGCGCCTGCGGGCAGAGCCAGACAAGTAGTCCCATTCACGTGCAAGGGATGTGCTTGACCAAGCTGGGAGAGCACAGCACCTCTACATGATCAAAGGTCAGAGAGGGCAGCGATCACAAAAGCTGGTTGTCAGCCTCGGAATACAGAGTACACACCACCCCAGCGGACTGCCTTATCACAGGCATGCAGCTTGCGTGGGTGCCCACCCTGGGTGCGACCCGTACGTCAAGGACTGCTGCCACCCTGTGGGTTCTGGTGCTAAAGACAATGTTGGCACCTTTGGTCGGAATATCCTGGCTTGGAGAGAGCCAGAAAGGGAAGACACTGGCTCACGTGAGTGGGTCCCAGAAGTTTCCGAGAATGAGCTCAAACGCAGAAGGCCCTGATGGCTGGCACTACTGAATTGCATACTAAATTTTATTATTCTAGCTCTGCCAGTAATTGGATGGTTTTTGCTTTTGACTTTATCATCCCAACAAAATTTAGATCTCATAAGATCTATTAAATCATTATTGGAGTAAAGATTCTTATTTCGTAGGCAGCTTTTTCAAATAAATTCAAATTATTCCAAAACGAAGGAATGGCAGGTATAACCCTATGAATAAAAAGCTGATTGCTCTTTGATTTATGAAATTTATATAATCCATAAAGCACTACATAGATCCAGATTAGTTTTTCTCTTTGACATTTGGAATATATCTACATTATGAAATAGTTTATATAGTTCTGTTGATGTCACTAACTGGAAACTACAGAAGAAAAGCACATTTATATTATTTTTATTTGTAATTTAAGCTGAAACACCTATAAAAATAGTTAAAGTATATATTCAACCTTTCTGTACTTTAAAACACCTTCAAGCATTGGAATACATTGTGTTTTATATGTTTATAAAATACTGTAATATAGATACATTTATTTTCGAGGAGCAGTAGTTTTATCTACGGCATAGCATCGATGCATATAGAATTATGGAATGCTTCTCCTAGAAACTACCTTGAAGAGATCGTACTCCAGAGGGTGTCATTCATGACAGGCTTGTGGGTTAATAAACTGAAATGTATTGGTATGCGTATCAATTTCCTACTACCATTCTAACAAATCACCACAAATTTAGTGGCTTAAAACAAGGCAAATTTATTGTCTTATAGTTCTGCAACAACAGCATATATTTCTTACCATTCTGACAGGTCAGACACAGGTCAAGGTGGCAGCAGGGCTGTGTTCCTTCTGGAGGCTCTAGGGGAGAATCCATGCCCTTGATTTTTCCAGCTCCTGGAGACTGCCCACATTGGCTCCATCTTCAAAGCCAGTGATGGCAAATTTCTCAGGGGTCACTCTGACATTCCTTAACACTCCTATTGCCCCTTTGCCTTCTCTCTGACTCTGATTCCTTCTGTGACCCTCTTATAAGGATCCTTGTGATTACGTTAGGCCAACCAGGATAATCCAGGATAATATTTCCATATCAAGATCCTCGATCACATCTGCAATGTCTCCTTTGCCATATAAATTATAAAGTAGCACAAATTCCAGGAATTAGAACATGAACATCTTTGGGGAAGCCGTTATTCAAACTCTGAGCTACGCGAGCCTGTGTCTGTGGATATACAGTTTTTCTGGATATTTCCTCAAAATAGCTTTCCCCAGAATGGCTCTTCAAAGGGATCCATGACTCAAAATAGTTTAGTCACTTGCTCCCACAATTTAATCTTCCTCCCCTGTCTCTCATAAGGAATAATTAAAGTCTCAGAGATAATGACTTGCATAAGACCACATGAATGATGAGAGAGCATGATTTCATGACCCTCATTTGACCCTTCATAACTATGGCCTACTGAAGACAAATCAACAGATTATAGTGGTGTTCTTCCACTCTCTGAATAAGAAAGCATATACTTGAGCTTCCTTGGCAAGCTTATTGTAAGTGTGTGGCTAATAGAATCAGTGCTGTTGGCTGTTGGGAAGCTCAGGTCCAAAGTTATGCCTCAGTAAGAGTGGACAAGTCACTTTGCTAATAAGCACAGTGCCTTGAAGGTGAGCCCTTATATATGGTCCAGTGGAAGTGGAAGAAGAACTCAGGTCTGACATGGTATCTTAATGTTGGGACTCAGAATGTTTTAGTTATTCATTGACAGATGTAGGAGAAGAATTTGCTAACACCTACAGGGCCCTGAACAGTTTGTAATGTGCCTCCTGTTGCTGTATTGCAGCACAGTGCTGTGGAGTGCAGGGTCACACGTCAGACTGCTGGTGCTGGATTCTGGCACCATCACTTATGGGTGTTTGACCTTTGGCGACTTGCTTGACTTCTCTGTATCTCAGTTACCTCTTTAATAAAATGGAGGGACTTACTTTATTGGGGTCAAATAGGTCTGGATTCCATTTGTGAACCATGATTCACCAGTTATCTAATAAAATAATTATATCGATACGAAAGCACTTCGTATAGGACTTTACACAAAATTTTTGCATATTTTCTGTTAAGAACATTTCAGAAATCCATTTTCTAATACGTGAATATGCTTATCAGTTTGTTGTAAGCAGTATCATTTTCTTTTAAAAGCAGTTGGAATATAGTAAACACCATACATATTATTTTTGCTGCCACCATCACTACCACTACAGGTGCAGCCACCTATCTGGACCACTGGAGGGCAGCAGAGTTAACTATTTGAAATCCATTTCTTACGTTCTAGTGAACTGAGATCAGAGTTTAATCTTGGTCTTTAGGATAGAAAAATAATTAAGGTCAAAGATAATGTAATTTGTACCTCTGGACATACCATCCATTGCTCTTTGGTCCAGGGGTCATAATTATAGATGCGTGCCCCATAGCTCAAGGAGCCACTTGTGTAGCTGTCTACTCTGAGGACAGCCTACCAATATCATGACCAGTGCTAAATCGTATCTCTATAATTTATATTTTGAGGTAGCAAATAGCTACCTAGTCTTGCTGTTGGAAGGCTTTTGGTTGGCTGTGATATTTCAAAGTTTTAAGGTTAATGTGGTTTCCCTTTGTGCAAAAAATAGAATGCAAACGAGCATTTGTAAAATCACATTGTTGTTTCTTATTACAATAATGCATTAGAATTTTTAAAAATGGAATTGGAGATTGAGAACAGAGAAAGGAGTAAAAGAAGATGATAAGTATAAGTATGATTCTGAAATTGGAAAACATAAAGAAAGCTGAGTAAACTCATCTAAACACTAGGTTGTATTTGTCTCCTGGAAAAGAGGCAACTTAGATGCAGCAGTGGGGTTGGGAAAACAACAAAGTTGAAGTTGAGAAATAAGCAGTTCTGTATATGTGACAAGCTGTGGCATTTGATGCAGTAGTCAAACGCAAAATATAAGATAGTATTAGTACATAATTGACCTTAATTATATGTTTTAAAATTGCATAAATCCATTAAGTATGAAAAGAAGGAAGTACAATGTGTTTAATGGACAAGTTTTGTCTAACTGGCAGTGAAACAAAAGAATACTCTGGACCAAAAAAAAAAAAAAAAAGGCTGAGAATTTAATTTATTTAATTTGAAATGGATGTATACAATGAAATCTCAAGGATGTGTACCATCCTTGAAATGTTCACTAGATGGCATAAAATCCTTTGAAGCCATGTAAAGGAGCCAAAGAATATTTACAATCCTTTGCTACAAAGCTATAGTGGAAGATCATGATTAAGTGATTCAAAATATAAATTGTATATTTCATTTCTGAAAGAGTCTGATGTAGAAAGGGCTTCCAGAATCTAGTGGAAAGTTTCCTAGTATTAGTATATAAACAACTTTTCTCTTCTTTCTGATGATATATTTCTTTAACTTCATATACTCTTTGATTTTGCTGTCAACTGTGGCATAGTCTCTGAAAAATAATAAAATAATCATATGCATGCGATAAAGTGTTGATTTAACTAGTGTGTCCCAATATAGAGGAATTTCAAAAATTCTCAGATACATAGAGCCATAGAATTTTAGAGCTGGAAGAGACCAGAGAGAACAAAGAGGACACGACCTTCTATGTTTATGTGGCTCATTTACACCAGAGCCAGACAAGGACCCTAGTTTCCATCCATACTTCCGTTTTTTAAAGATCCTTCTTGGAATGTCAGTATATATCAGTACTATATACAGTACAAACTATATAGTACTGATATATAGTACTATATGTAGTACTATATATCAGTACTGTATATAGTTAGGTGACAAGTAGAATAACTTTCCTTGGCCACTTGTAAAAGATATTAACATTTTTTAAAAGTGGAATGCCATCAAATGTCTTCTAAAAAAGCTCAAAATCAAAGTCAAAGATATTTTTCTTCAGTAGAAACAACCTGGGCCTACTACAATTCCAGAAAATTGTGTACATATTGACCTGTATACATATAAACATAAACATAAAACTTTTATTAGATTTAGAAGGGACCTCAAGAATTTATTTGTCCATTTCCTGCATTCCACCAGGTAAAGTTTCATGATCCCTATTTTACAGATTAAAAAATTGAGTCCCAGAGAGACTGACTTGCTAAATGAGTAATGAAGAGGGAGGGATAGGTCTCCTGTCCTAGTAAAATGCCGTACTATGCGTCTCTTGCTGGACAAATTGAGGGACCCATAATTTCACATAAAACAGACTCTTTCTTCCGTAATTGTGTAAAAGTAGATTACCAAGTAATTGATTGCATTTTAGATAGTCAAGTTCTCAGGTCTCTTTGAAAGTGAACCTTGAAAGTCAGCTTGACTATTGACAGTTGGTCCATTGCCCAGTACATAAGTAGCCATTGTTTTGGTTTAAAAAAATAAATAAAGGCCCTCATTTTGCTTATTTTGCCCAATGAACCAGTTGCTTGCATGAATGTGACAAAAATCAGACACAAGACACTACATATACCAGGAATAATCAAGATAAATTCGAAAACTGTCAAATATTAGAAGTGCAAAGCCATGCAGAAGAGTCAGACGGGTTTTCCTTTTTGGAGTTCTAGATAATGGGTATACAAAAAAGGTGTCAGTCTTGCTGTCCCAAGTGGATTTTGAGTGCAAAGTTGCAATTTGATAATAAAAAGTACAGGAGGTGTCTCTGTAGTGGAGCACATGGGGAAGCATTCTCGAATAAACTTTATATGTCATAGCTATAAAAATACTCCTAGCATGAAGGTGTTACAAATAACATTTATGATACTAATGATAATAGAATAATGTGTCACCTTTTCTTGGTTATGGCAGGATGACTCAAGACCTTCTTGCATGGCTTCTCTCTTACAAGTTACCAGTTTAGAAAGGGCTTTTTATTCTGGTTCTCAAAAAGTCAAATATGTTAGCTTGGAGAAAGAGGAAGAAGCAGTGAGAAGTACCTGGATATTACGTAGAGGTAGAAAAAAAAAAAAACAGAAATTAGAGACAGAGAAATGTGATACAAGATATGAATGCAAAGATAAAGGGAGAAGGTAACATTTATTAGCACTTATTTTACGAAAGGCACCGTGGTAAGCATTTTGCTTATATTATCACACTTAATCCTCACAATAGCTCTATGAGGTAGCTTCTATGTGCAGATAACAAAGTGGCAACCGAAAATACTAATTTTTGCACAACAACTAAGTAGCAGAGCCAAGATTCAAATTTTGATATGACTCCAAATTCCATGTTGTTTTAATTAGAACAATATAGGCAATACCAGACCATCAGTGAAATTTCAAAAAGAGAGATTGGCACAATTATCAGACAAATTGACTTTGGAAACAGCTATTTTAGATGGACTTATGAAAAGAAATATCAGAGACAGAAAAGGATGATAGATTCCATTGAAACTCCATCTTCGTAAAAACGAAGTATCTATTAAGCAACTTGAATTGCAAAAGGTGCTACAATCAAGGTTTTAATTCAATATCTCCCAACTTGCTTTCCTCATTATGCTCATCCACTTGGTCTCCAAGGAAGCTATAGTGACCTTGCAAGTCATCACCCATACAGAAAAGACTGGGTACTGAAATATCTTTCCAGTCCTGACACGAAGGAATACGGATGTGTTTGACATCTTCCTTTCCAGGAATGAAGCCAAATAGTTTCTTTATGCGCTGCAGGATGATGAAGCGTGAGTGCTGCTCTGCTGCTTGTTCAAAGAGCTTCCTCTCATTGTGGAGGTGGTTGGTCCAGTAGCATTGCTGCAGAGAGGTGAGGGGAGAGCAGCACCTCACCAAGCAGCGGGAAACTAGGGCAGCAATGGTTGCCAAGGTGATCAAAATCCAGGCCAGCATCTTCACGTAATTATTTAAAAGAAAAATAGAAAACATCACTACATCAAATATTCAAGGAACAGCCATAGTAGGAGGGAGTCTTACAAAACTGAGAACTAAACTGTGAGTAAGACATTTGTTTTTCTAGTTTTTAACATATTAACAAGGTGCTGATCATTTGTTATGAATGTGGTTCTGATGTATAGGCCCAACCATTTCTATTTGGTTTTTGGATTACAAAAGACTTGACCAGTTAACTTGAAAGGAATTCTAAGTGTTGTCTTTGAAGTGGCAGATGCTTTAACCCACCAATTACCCTTGCATAAGGTACATAAACTATGTTCTTTGCTTTTAGCTTAACTTTACTTTTGAACCATCAGGTAAAGGCGCTTTCTCTGGGGGCTTAATAAATATTTGTAAATGATGGTGATGAAAATGATAATATGATAGATAATAATGGTAGCCTCCTAAGGCATCTTCAATAATGTGCCAACAAATAGTCATTGATATTTCTTCCTGAGTTCCTCTTTCCTTTTATTTTTTTGTGACCAAAGAAGGAAGTCAGTGAGCAAACTCTTATTTTCCTAAATATCTAGCACCTTGTGGTTTTCCTTTTCATTCCCCTCCTCCTTCAAATAGTCATTTGCTAACTAGTTTTATGACTTGTTTTGAAATATACTTTGAAATGAAAATGAACTAGATTTTATTTGCAACTATTTAGTTCCCAACATTAAAGACTGACGTGAATGTCTGTTTCTACTCTTAAAATCCTTTTTTTTAAATCATTTTTTCAACATTTAGAAAAAGTGAGAGACACAAGTTCTACACATTTAGGAAAGCCAGCAGGTAGGTAGCCACAGTCTGGAAGATGAAGGTCTGTTCCACAGTTCGTGATTCACACTAGTGTGTACACAGCAGGATAGCTGTACTCTTGGAGGCTAAAACCTACAAAGTGATAATCATTACAATTAAACTTAATAGAGGCCAGCATGGTGGAGCAAAGGCCATCTCAGATGCCTATTAATTCATCCACTATCATTTATCGAGCTCCAGGTTGACTCCCCCGCCACCATGTGCTGTGTGTGGTACTTGGTTATGGGGACTCAGATGTGACTAATTTAAGATACAGTCATTCTTTTCACAGTCTTTAAGCCTAAAGAGGGAGACAAAATAGCAAGATGAGAAATATAGTAAAATATTTCTCTGGGGGTGATGCTCAGACTTAAATTATTAAAGAGGAATTCACCAGGTGTGAGAAGTTGAGGAGAGTTCTAATAAGAGAAGACAGAAAAATAAGAGCACAAAGAGTTGGGAAAATCTCAAGAAATTTGGATATACGGGGTTATAGGAGTCATGTGGAAAAGTGGTCAGGAGTCAAACACTGAAGGACCTAGTACGTCATGCCAATAATTTGGATTCGTACTTAGGCTGGTAGGAAATCACTGAAGGATGTTATATGGGGCATGTAGGGGAGGGTTCATCACGATCTGCATTTAGAAAGATAATTTTGGCCTAAGTGTAAAAAGTAGATTGAAATGGAGTGAAACTCAGTTCAGGAAGGTATTTTAGAATAAGGTAGGGGTACAGAAAGGATTTGAACTTCGTATGATCTTATAGTCCACACAGAATAATTCAACTGAAATACAGCATATGTTCCTCAAATAAGATTGACATTCAAGATAGTTGCAGAAGATGACCTGGTGAAATGAAATGATTTTTTAATATCTCAGTCAGCTATTTATTAGCTTTATGAACTTATGAAAGTTATATAAACTCTGAGCTTTGGTTTCTTCATCTGTAAAATGTGGTTGATTTTACTTGTCTCTTAAGATTATGAAGATTAGAGTTAAGATATAAAATATTTATACAGTATATGATGAACATCTCAATATATATTAGCTTTGTTGTCACTAAATCAAAAAGACCACTGGCTAAGGCACTTAGACTGTAAAACTGTCTTTTCACAGAAGCCTGTTTATCATTAAATAAGACTTTATTTTGACTATAAGAAAATCTTACCATTGTGTATTACCTTTTACTTTTTCTTAAGCAAGAACATTTTTCAAAGTTAAAATTACCCCATTGATTACTTGACTTTTCACTTACATTCACATAGCCCCTCTGCCTGAGCTTTAGGGCCAATATAAAAAGGTTGAGACAAAGCTTATCTTAATGGCATTTCTAATTTTGCTTAAACTGGCCCATATGCAACACTTCAGTGTTTTGTGCATTGATAGTAATTTTTTTCAACTAAATATCATTACACCTATAAATTTTAATAACTGAAAAGTGATGGGTCAAAAATGCCTTTGCAATAAGTAGTTTAAAAGATCATATTTTTACTGTATTGCAGTGTTTTATAGAGAAAAATGTGTTTTTCCCTAAATGTCTTGAAGAAACTGATGAAAGCCAATGACTTTTTACTGACAAAAATGCAATTTTACACTCTTTATATTTAACCTATAAGTGCATTTAGTTCAGAACTTCCCCCGACCTCACCCCTCTCCTCACACAAACCTATCTAAGGATACTAAATTTAAAACCATCATTGGAGTTTATTTTTAATTATATTTAAGCCTCTTGTAATTTTAGATGATATTTTAATATATAAAAATGCATATTTAAGGATATACATGCAGTAAGATGAAATTTAGTAATGTAGTAAAAATAATTTCAATATCAATATCTAAAATTTATTTTTTTTATAGATACAGATTCCGGACACAGTTTTGAGCACTTTAGATATATTAGCTCATTATTTCTCATGCTAACCTGATGCTGTAGATCTTATTAATATCCCCATTTTATAGCTGAGATAAGTGAAGCATGGATAAGTTATATAACTTGCTTAAGGTTTTGCAGGTTAATAAGTGGCAAAGACTCAGACCCAGAGCCCATCATCCTCACTGCTGCTCAGTAGAAATCATTTTGATGAGTGGCATCTAGTTTATGTTCTATTATCAGATGGTATGAGAAACTACAGGAATGTGAAATATTGCTAGTGACCGTAGTTAATATGGAATGGGAGAACAGACAAACAAAACAAAACAAAACACAAAAAACAACAGGAACTTACTTGTGACTGATATCTGTGCAGAAGAGCTACTTCATCTCTTATCTCCTGATAAGATGGAGCTGACCTGAAACATGGAAACCCAGCTACGATTTCTTCCCGTTTGCTGGCACCGATATTGTCAAACACTGGGTAATGGTCCACAGATGCAAATTCACTTGCTGCACATTCGTAGTAGGTGCCTGTCATCAGGGTTGCTGCCAGCCATGTCAATGGAGCAACAAGTGCCCTCCCGGTGATGCTGAAGAACCTAAGGCAAGCCAGCTTGCGCTCCAGGAGGCTGATTCTCCGGTGTGGAGGGGCACAGCGGCAGCAGTATTCACTGGTAATTGTCCACATTTGGCTTCTCAGAGCATAGCCAGCAACCAAAAGGATCAAGGCAGGAATGACTAGAAAAGCAGAACCGTAATAGAAGTTTTTCCCAACCTGACAGGGACATCTGAACATTAAAGAGGAGAATACTTGTTGCCCACCAATAGTCAAAGCAGTTATTAAAGAATTTATAAATATTCCACTTCTCTGCAGAGAAGATACAATACTGTTGAGAGTTGGGCCCATCATTGGGAAGCTCTTACACGAATCAACTTGTAGCCCTTTCTGATCATTAGACTCCTCCAGCTATAACCATTTTATGGGATCTTACTGGTTTAACTGGTTGTGTCAGTTGACCCAACTCCTAACATGTTTAAAGGATTCTATCATCTTTTCTTATGTACCTTGGGAATCCTGAGCTAATAAATGCACTTCAGATTACAGCTAGAAGAAATTAAAGAAGAGATTCATCTGGTATGAGTGACAGGGAAAACTCCAGTATATCTTCCCACTAAAAGGAAAATGGCTTACTTGCAAAGCAGACTGCTGTCATTTTCCCATGTGCTGCGTGGTGTGACACAAAATGCTCAGCGCCAGGAAATAGAGCACTGGAAGCAAAACAAAGAATATTCTTACCTTTGTACTAGTCCAGGATTTGGTTACCATAAAATTATGGTATAAAGAATAATGGGAATTATCGAAAACTAGAGTGATCCAAAATTGAGGGCTATTTAGAGTGTCCATAACTCAAGAGTTCTGCCAGAACATCCCAAAAGCTTTCTCAAAAGAAAACAACAAGGCTTGGGTACCCCTAAAGCTGAATCACAAGAAAAACATTTTAATTTTACATAAAAATCTGTTTGTATTGACAGTCTAATATATGAATGTATTGCTTTACAAGTTAAGTTGCAACTTTGTTTATATGATATCTTTTTGTTATATAAAAATATGATATTGGGGTATTGATTGTTATGTATCTATAAAGAATAAATAAAATGATCAAATATGTAGGGCATTTTCTATACTTATTTAATCAGCAAATATTTTTTATATAACTTCCATATGAAAGGCACTGGACCAGGCTTGGTTGGGCTTATAAAAAGTGAATAAGATATAAATTTATTTTGTCAAATAAATTCTCAACTGGACTTGATTAAATACAGAATTAGTGAAGTGAAACATATGCTGAGGCATTCACCCAAAATTAAGTACAAAAAGATAAAGAAATAAAATATTCGAAAAACCAATGGAAGGAAATAGAAGATAAATTAAACAATTCCATGGTCATCTAATAGAATTTCCAGAATTAAAAATGAAGTAGTCAGAGAAGCAATATTTGAAGAGAAATAACAGAATTTTGCAGAATCAAAGACACTTCTCACATTAGAAGAGTGTTCGATATTATGAGCAGTGTAAATAAAGATAAACCCATATATAGACACATCATAGTAAGACTGCAGAGTGTGAAAAATAAAGAGATATTATTAAAAGCTACCAGAAAGAAAAGATACATAGCCTACAAAAGAAAGACAATAGACTCATTGGAGACTTATCAAAGACAATAGACTCATTGGAGACCAGAAGAAAATATCTTCAGTGTGCTTAAAAACAGCTAAACTATCACTCAAGACAGACCAAAATAAAGATACATAAGACTAAGGGAATTTACTACACACAGAAGCTCATTCAGAGGATTATTAAAGCATATATTTCAGTAAGGAGAAAAATGAACTTCGAGAAAAATATGTGAGTTAAAAAGTAATGATGAGTACAAATATGATATTTTTAAGACGTTCCTTTAATTATTAGTTGTAGAAATAACTATTTTTTAATTTAAAAGATAGAACTAAGGCAATACATGGTTATAATAAGATGTCACTGTTAAAATGGCTAAAATTAAAAAGACCAACCATACCAAATGTTGGTGAGGATTGTGGAATAACTCGAACTCCCCTTCACTGATGGTGGGAATGTGAAATGGAACAACCACTTTGGAAAATTGTCAGTTTCTTTAAAAGTTAACTGTACATCTACCATATAACACATTTATTTACTCAAGAGAAATGGAAGCATTTGTCCACATGAAAACTTGTACATGAATGTCCATAGCAGTTTTCTTTATAAGAGCTGCAAACCAGAAACAACACAAATGTCCATCAGCGGATGAGTGAATCACCAAATTGCTATATATCCATATAAGGGAATACTAATCAGCAAGATAAAAGAAATCAACTATTGATATACATAATAACAAGAATGAATTCAAAATAGTTTCCTGAATCAAAGAAGTCAAGCATAGGAATACCTAATGTGTGACAATCTAAAATTCTAAAATATGTAAATTAATCTATACTGAAGGAAATAGACCAGTGCCTGCTTAGGTAATGGGGGAGGAGAAATGAGAAGAAAGAGATTACCGAGGGGCATAAGAAGAGTTTTAAGCATCGTATCAACTTGTACCAGCAAAATTTTCATTTATGGAGGTGACTCAGTGATGACACAGAGAGGCCAATGCCATTGACAGAAGAATTTATTACTTACATTTACCAAGAGAAAGGGGCATGCCAGGCCACACAGGGCCACATGGGGAAGCACTGTGTTTGGTCAGGAAGCAGAAAGGAGGAAGGGAAAGCCTGGGCAGAGGTTTTACTGGGGTTTCCGTGGAAAAGGCAAGACAAGGCAGGAAAACCAGGCTAGGACTGGCTAGTTTAAATGATTTTAGTAGGAGCTGCCACTACTTGTCTGGTACCCGGGCTTGAGTTGATCTAGAATAGAGGAAATATTAGCTTGGTGTATAAGAGATAAGAAGGCAGTTCAGAGAATGGGCTCTGGATCGTATGGGAGATGTAAATTACTTTGGCCATTACTGTGACACTGTAATTAATGGATGCCAATTGACAAAGAATCTAAGAGAACACAGTTAAAGCAGGATGATGAAAATGTCAATTATATTGATTGACTTGATGGCTTCAAGGGTATATATGTATATATGTCAAAACTCATCACGTTGTACATCAATTATGTATCAATAAAGCAGTAAAATTTTAAGTATAATTATCAAATAATAGAAATACAGTGTATAAAGATCACTCAAAAAACGAAACGAAAAGGGAATACTGTAGGAAGAGAGAATAAACAAAGGAAAAAGGGTGGCAAAAATAAAATAAAATAAAATAGTGATAGAAATGAGACCAAATACATCAATAATCACACAAAATTTTTTTTAAATAGCTAACAATTACTGAATGCTTACTACATGTCAGGAACTTTATCTTATTTAATTCTCACAATGATGAGGTATTAATATTATCCTCAGCTGTTTTATAGATGAGAAAACTGAGGTGTAGAGAGATTAAGAGAATTGCACAGGGTCACATGGAGATGAGTGAAAGAGGCAGGATTAGGACCTAGGCAGCCTGGAACACGCCCTTAACCACGACACCAGGGCTGGGGTAAACTGACCTACAGAGTGTTGAAAAGCACTCATGGTGCTTGTAACTGACCCACCTAAACTAGACCACACACAAATCTTGAAAAATAAAGGTATTTTGAACACTATCACAATAAAAGGAACAATCTATTATAAGATATGACAATCATCAACTTGTATGTCCGTGGCTGCATAGCTTTGAAATATATAAAACAAACACTGATAAAATTATGAGGAGAAATTCTTATAATCATGAGTTTTTTTTTTTAACATATCTTTATCAGAAATGTTTGATCAAGTAAACATTAGAAAGAATATAAAAAATGTAGAACAAAATTAGCAAGCTCTGTCTAAGATACATGTAGTATCTCATACCCTAAAAATAGAAAATAAATATTTTTATAAGTTACCAATAAATAATTTAAACAGATTTAAAAACCATGGTAATAGAATACTATAGAAGAGTGGTTGGTAATCTATAGTTCAGGGACCAAAGTGACTAACTGCCTATTTTATATGACTTTTGAGCTAAAAATGGATTTTACATATTCAAATTATTGGACATTTAAAAAAAAATTTGTGATATGTGAAAATCACATAAAATTCAAATCTCAATGTTTATAAATAAAGTTTTATTGGCACATAGCCATCCCTGAGATGTCTATGGCTGCCTTCCCACCCCAGCAACAGTGTTGAGTAGTTGTGACAGTCTATTTCACTGTAAAGCCTAAAATACTGATTATTCAACCCTTTACAGAAAAAATTTGCTGACCTCTGCTGTGAAAATAAATTAACTAGAGTGACGGCTATGGTTATGCATAAATCTTAACAAAATAACTTTGAGTGAAAAATGCAAGTTGTAGGATACTGCAGTATAATACATTAGGTAAAGTTTTAAAATAAAATAATGTTACATAGTCTGTGGTTACTAACATATGCAAAATCTTAAAATAGGCATAGTAATAATGAATATCAAATTCTGGGTAGTGGTGACCACTGAGGAGGAATGAATAGGATACATGGTATTTCAGCTGTATCAGCGCTGCTCTGTTGCTTAAAACAAAGCCTAAAATATATAGAGCAACTTGTTCAGTAAAGCTTGGTAGTAAGTACTACATCTTCCTTATGTTTATAATTTCATCTTTAAAATTTTTTTTAATAAAGTATCTGGGAAGTGAGGAAGCAGAGAAGAAAATTGTAGACCATTTTCTCAAGAAACTATGTAGAAAAGGTTGAAGGTTGGAGAATTGATTTAGTTACCACCGAAGTGTCAAAGTCTCGCTGTAAAGGAGTTTGTTGGTGACAGATTCTTAACTCTTTATTGTCGTTTACTGTTGGAAGAGTTAATGACTCCAGTGTATAACTTGTCAGTGATTGTGAATGATTACATCTATGAGTAATCAATTTTTTTGGTGGGGGTGGGGGAGGATTTATAGCCAAATGATCTACTTGTTAAAGATGGCTCGCTGTTCCCTGTCTATCCATCACATAACATGTCTGCTCCTCAACAGGGACTCACCAGCTCACTCACTGTGTGCATACTGGCACAAGGATAAGGGAAATCGGGTTTGACAGCTATAGTGCTCCTCAGAGGGGTTGGGGTGCCAAAAAAATCAACAAATTTTATGTAAAATTCAGTTAAAATAAACACTAAAAGCCGCCTTAAATAGAAAAAGAAGTTGCAAAAAGATAATGAGCTGCTGGACAGATATTATGGTAGCTGAAAGAGGCTTTGCCTTATCTGAGAGTTTGTGGATGATCTCAGATGGTAATCATATGGCTGACAGATTAGTAAATGTCCTACTCTTTTAGCATCTCCCCAAGTCTCTACTTGGTTGTTCAGGTACCTCCCAAAGAACAAGTATAAGGTAATAGACCAATTCACCATTTACTTTGGTTTACTAACACTGCAACATAGATATGATGAGATTGAAGAATGCATCATTTTTCCAACCCCAGCTCCGAATTCAATCCCAGGCCACTGAAAGAACTCTTAATAAAAGAGGAAAATCTTCTCTTCTGCATTATTTTAAAATTACTCTTCTTTCTAGTTTGCTGCCAGGGCAGACATCATGGATCATCTATGTGTTTGAAACATCCTCTGTGCTTTCTTCTATTTAAGTGAAAGGTAATTTTACATAAAAAGAAGGAACCTGGGGGACACAGGCTTACTTGGATTATAAGAGCTGCTGAAGGTAACTGAATTTCACGGTCTGAAAAACAGCCAAACAGTGTCCCAGAGCCAGCGCCTACAGCTTTGCTTGTGGAGATCATGCCCTTGTACAGTAATGCCAGGGAGTGACTCCTTCCTTAAACCCTATGGTCTTGGCTGCAGGGCCAGGGGAGGGGGAGACCCATCAGTCTGAAAGAAGAGCTGGCTTTTTCCAGTACCCGCAATGTCCTGAATTCTCTTTGTGGCCCTGATGTCACCATATCACCGCCATTAAAGGTTAGTAAAATTGATTCCTGTGCCATCTCTCCCTTCCCACCAAAATACACAGGACTTTTCTATGTTTTTCTCAGGGACCTCCCATCCAGAACCCAGAATTACCCCAAACTTGGTCTAGCAACACGCTGTCACCTTATTTTAGTAGCTTTTGTGAATCTATTTTGCTGTAACATATTATAGTATGTGAAGAAAAAAAAATTCTTTTTGATTTGGAGTCAGCAAATTTAGCCCAAATCCTTCTTTGTTGCCTCCTATCCAGCTAACCTTGAACAAATTTCTTAACCTCTCTGACTTTTAGATTCCTAACCTATAACATAGTAATGATTACAGTACTGACTGCTTCACAGATCGTAGCTAAATTAAAATGAGATAAAGAAAATGAAAACCATGTCATGCACTTTATAGAAATAAAAGTTTAAAGTAAAGTTTATAGAAATATAAGGTGCAATTAATTTGCTACTGAAAAGCTTCCCGTCTCCTACAACCCAGCAAAATCGATTTCCTGAGAGTGGGCTCATAAAACATAGCATTAATGGAAATACCTTAAATACTGTAGAATTCCATTCAGTATATTAAGCTACAAGAATAATCTATAGTAATTAGTGTTTATACAGTCATTATAATGTGCTTTATACCAGACATTATCTCTTTGATACTCACAATTATTCTCTGAGGTGGGTATTATTATTGCCATTTTGCAGATGTGGAAACTGAGCCAGAGAGCAATAAAATGGCTTGCCCAAGTCACAGAGCCAGTAAATGGCAGAACTGCAGCTTAGCCTGAGCCTCCCAAATCCTCCCACACTCTTCTTCAAAGTCATCAGTAGTCTATCACTTTATAGCAAGAACTTTCCAGAACACATAGGGCTAATTGACTGAAACTGAAAGAAGTAGGAAACTACTTTCTTAAACAGAGTTTTATGCTTCTATTTCTGGAAATGTTTTTGATCCTCCATATCCTGCAGTTGTCAAGTTGAGGGAGTTTCTTGTTTTAACTTTAAATTCTATACTTTTGCGTAAATAAAGAGAACTTTCAATAACTAACATCTCCAAGACTGTCAAAAGAAAACTGAGGGCTTGCTTTCTCTGCCAGAATCATTATACATTATTAAACTAGAATGCCCATTTTGAACAACAGTTTTATAAGAAAACATCAGCACCCAAATTCTATCACTTCTTCACATTTCTGCATATGAAAAATAAGTTACCAGATAGATATACTTAATTTTGTAATCACACAAGATGGGGGGTCTGCGATGCCCATTATTTGGGGAATAATGTAATACCCATTAGAGTCGTTGATTAGGTCTGAACCAGTGTTTAATGCCTATAGATTGCTGATCCTGTCTCAACACAACAATCAATACAAAGACTGAATAATGCTAACATTTAGATCTATCTTGGATTGTGAAGGTTTCTGTTTGTGATTTTAAAACAATGCCTTGGCATGAGCACAAAACACCACTCTCATACTCCCTTGGGTTAAAGAATTTCAGTAGCCAATGCTTCTGGTCTGACTTCCCACTCTCTGCTTTTATGTCTCTATAGTACAACTCATTCTCACTAGCAGTATTTATTTGATGAGTGGCAAGGTACATGGCTACAGCACAGTTCTGCTTATGACTGTTCTCTTCAGTTCAGCAAAGAGCAAAAGCAGTATGGTGCATAAGTAGCACATGTGTCTGGAAGCAAAGAGGAACTTGCAAAAACAAAACAAAGCCAAAGAAAGAAACTGAAGATCACATTCTTCATCTATCAAGCACTATGTCTCGCCCTGCGCACAGAAGACCAGAATACCATAAAATAGTAAGATCTTTTTATAAACATTCTCAAAGATATTTTATTCTATGTCAGAGGAAATGTTTTCTTAAGTGATTTCTGATTTATTTTGAAAGGCGATGCTGTGAGTAGTTATTTAGTGGAGCAGGGAGTGTTTAGTGGAGTGAATCAAAAGACACCTCTGGGAATAGTTACAATAACCTCTTACATACTGTAAAAGAATAATCAATTCTTTACTATATTTCTGGGTCTTCTCTTCTGACTAGTTTTATCTACAAAAGTGTCAAGATTTTTTTGTCTCTTACAGAAAATATGAAAAGGTTAAGCAATTCTTTGTATTTCATACTTATAATTTGTTGTATTTCATACCTCATGAAATATAAAATAAAATGTATAGAAAATAGTTGATTATATATTAAATTAAATAGGTATAGATCATCAAAAACTCAGTATTAAAAGATTGGCTTTAAAAATATATTTCTTAGTCTTAAATGTAAGTGGTCATCGTAATTCAATATGTGCTATTATCTTTTCTATATGTTCCAAGTTTGGAATTATTTTAAAAACTTAATTATTTTGCAGATTAGATTTGTATGTTCTTCTTTAATCCTCTCTTATTGTGGTTTTAGGCATTCAGAAGTTATATATGTAAAAACTCATTAATTTTAAAGCTCTGTTCATTATTTCAGGAGACTGATGGGCATTGCATAAAATTAAGCAAATTCAGCCATGGGTACTTAAAATTATATGACTGACCCATGCACACCTCAATTAGAAATGCCTGCAGATGCCACCGCTGGCATTCTGGAGTCTTGATTTATTTTTTTGTGGGACTCTCAAAAACTAAAAAAATATTGTACCTAGTTCGTATTATACCTAATCATTTGATAAAAACACTTTTTTATCCTGATATATTCCCAAACTCCTGAAATAATTATTGGTGTTTTATTTTTCATATATGACAAAGATTATTTTAAAAACAGATAAAGTTATGTTGATTTTTCTTGTGGTCATATGGTTGGATCTGAGACCCTACTGGACAAGTAGTTTGAAGTACAGCCCTTGGCCATGAAGCAGAATGGAGAAAGCTGGTCTTTATGGGCATTGATCTTAAATTCAGCTGAAATATAGTTAGTACCCACCCATCATAATGAGAGAGAGGGCGGTGGGGGAAGATAAGAAAATGTCATTATTTTAGCTTGGCCTTATAAATGGGCACCATGCAAGACTCTGGCATGTAGGTAGGGTATAATTTTCTCTCCTTTTCAAATTCTTTTGTTTTACTGCTAGTGAAACAACCATGTTATTGTTCTCTCCCTCTCTCTCTCCTTCACCTTTGCTTATGTTATACTGTAGTATTGATTCATAGCAGTAATTTATCTTCTGCTGTGGTTCTTTATATGTTAGGCAGATGTTTCATGTATAATTTACAGACATTTCTTGTGGTTTATGATTAGGTTCTTGGAAAATTTAAATAAGAACAGAATTAAAATTGAATACATGATAACTCTTCTCTGATTTAATAATATTTTTTGTTCAGATCACTTGCTTTACATCCCGTTTCCTGATAGAAATATTAATATATTTATTATGAATTATATGTATTAGTGTCCTTAATGTAGTGTCAATTAATGTATATAACATATTATAAATACATTTATGACATTTTAATTTATATTTTTCAACATAAATTATGTCCACATGTGCTATATAATATTTAGATTTAATCTACTTATTTAGTGATAACAAATATTCTACTTGATTAAAAAAAAGGATTTGTCATGATATGAACCATGTCATGATGGGGTACGCACTGGTGGTATTGGGCCAATTTTGGAAATATTTGGATTGAAATTATATAGCCTTTTATAGAAGATACTTTGTTGAATAAACAATTTTTTTGGTTTGTTGAGCCATTTCTGCCCATGATTTAAAAAAGAAATTGAATACATGTTATCAGGCTTTATCTTCCCCTCCACATTAGACTCTTCAAGATACCTGGACCTAGAGGTAAGGATACCTCTTCCAACCTGAAATCCACATTTGACCTTCCATGAAAATACAAGATTATTCACAAATCAAGATTGTTTTCAATGGTGGTACTCCTTCATACCTCCCTCTCCCACCCACCTCTTCTCTGAACAGTGGCTTCTTTTGTGCACTTCAGAGAATTCCTATGTCAGAGGAGAGCCTGCAGTCTCAGACTCCATCCTTGGCTCTGCCAATTGCTGGCTAGTTGGGCAAGTCACTCATTTCTCTTGAGGTCTCATTCCTTCCTTTGTAGGACTGAGAGCATTGGAATAAATGATCTCTAATATCCCCTTTCCTTTCTTAGATAGTATTCAGTAGACACAAAACAGAGAGACTTTAAAAAATGGATTGATTGAGCTTTGTGTTTTCTGTTTCTCATATTTTCAACCTATCTATGCTAAACCAAACCTCAGTTAGTCTCAGTTTTAGTTTTAATGTTTAATTTACTCTGAAAACAGGACGTATATTTTTGGAGATCTGCGAGGAAAGTAAAAATTCTTTTTTCTCTAAGTATAAAGAAGCATATCACAAATTTGCTACTGCATTTGGGTTCATCCTGTTGGTCTTCTTGGAAGATCTGGAACCCATTAGGGATTGTACAGACTTGTGAGAGGTCTCACCCAGTTATTCCTTCCAAATGAAAATATGGGCAGCATGTACCCAAGGCCATTGTAGAACGAAATGAATTTATATTAGCAATTACTATTAAAAAACTTCCCCATGAAAATATGTTGCAGGTTATATGAGCAAATGCATGAGAAGATATCCTTTTCTTAAGAAATTAATTTTATTTCACACCTTTTTTTCCTTCTATGTATCCAAATATGGGTATAATTTGTTCTTAAAAGTGAAAATTGTTGCAATATTAGTAGGAGGGTGGAAAAAATGAACAGATGATCTGGAAAGCTGCTTCCAACTAGAAAGTTTTGTAAATAAAGATAAATAAAGTTTTGTAAATGAGAAGAGTATACTGTTTGCAACTTTGCCTATAATGTAAAACCATCCATTTTTCTCCAGAACAAAGATCTCTTTGTCCTCACCTATGGAGCCCTGGTTGCCCAACTATGTAAGGATTATGAAAAAGATGAAGATGTGAATAAATATTTAGATAAAATGTAAGTAGAAGTCTTTCATTCTTGTGGAGTGTACATTGTTTCTTAACCTTCTCCTAATTTTGTCCACCTCTAATGACTTCTGTTGCTCCATTTCACCAGCTCTTCTTCTATTTCAATAAATAACATCTTAAAGCTAAATATAATTTCTGATAGCTGCCATTTCGTAGTCATAAAGTGTAAAGTAATAGGAAGGAACTTCTTTCCAAGAGTATCAAGCATGGAAATCATTTAGTTGGAAATCATTTTTTTGCTAGTTACATAAGCTAAGGGTTTGGTAAAACTGAAATTGTTCTTTTAACAATATGATGAATCATCAAATTTGCTTCTTTTCAGACGTATTTTGTTCTAACATAACTCCTTCCAGTATCAGTATGTGCTTACATAAGCACAGATCATATACGGAAGAATATGCAAAAAAATTACTAATGGTCATTCCCTGAAGGACCTGGAAGATGGGAGATTATGGATAGAAGGGAGATTTACTTTTTCCTTTGTAGTGTTTTATTGTTTGGATGCTTTTTTTCATTATTATGTTTTACTTGAAATATATACTAAATAGAGAAACCCATTTCTTCCTTTTCAAATAAAGTTTGTCTTTATTAATGGAGATTCCTTCACAAATTCAGCCTTTAATTTTCTCAGAATAATTATATGATCATCATATTATTGCCTAATCATCAAATGTCTTTCAATATTTTTTGAATGTCTTAATAATGGCTCCTAAAAAGGATTCTAACAGGACAATAGCTAGAAAACCTGTCCTAGGTAGAAGATTTAGTTAGACAGGTTGAATGGAAAATTTGGCCTCGTTAAACATTTTAAAGTTTTTAAAAAGAGTTCTTTGTATTTTCAGTTAGAATATAGAAAAAGAAAAACAGAAAGAAAGTTTGAAATCTTCTTTTCTCTGAACCCTTGGTTTTCTGGCTTTCTATATTGCTTGTCTTTTTTTCTATTGAAAAGTTCCTTTTCATTGTCGTGTATTTATATATTTTGGTTCACACACCTTTTGTTTTTGTTTTTGTTTGTTTTTTACATTTCTTCTTAATTAGTCAGGGGCACATCCTCTATTAAACTGTCTGTAAAAGCAGGAGTTGCTTAAGTTATTTTACATTTAGGTCACACTTACACTGTGACACATGGCATTTCCATACATTACATCATTTTATTTAGCTTATGTGAAATTTGAATTGTTTTGTGGAGCATCTTTAGAAAATGAAGATATTCATTTATTTGACTAAAAAAACCCCACTCTTTTGTTATCTACTACTTGAGAGCACGTTTTAACAAATATAGATGAAATACTAGTTAAAGAATAAATTTTGAGAGGTTTTAGAAAGGACTTGCCTTAAGAAAAACAATTCACATTTGGATTTCCTTAATAGCTTCTGCTGAGAGCGTCTTACATTTTTAATTTGATATATAAATACATAAAACATTTACTTTGCAGAAACTTACCCTTTGACCAAAGCAAGATATAAATGCAACACTGACCATTACATTCTGGCTTCCCATCGCTGTTCCCAGTGACCAAGCCTGTGTATACACTTAAAAATGAGACAACACTGAAAACAATTTTTAACTCCTAGTATAACTATTTCTCTGTAAAGTATGCATTGTGTTTTTTAAAAGTCTTTTCAGGGTGAACTTCCTAAATAGAACAACAAAACACTTTTCTTGAAAGGCAAGTAAGCTAAATTGAATGTCTCTAACTACTCAGAAATAGAAATAGAATTATCTCATAGATTTAGTGAATTCGTGAGCACTCTGACATCAAATCTGTCTTCCCCAATCACCCTGTCACCAAATATCTCCTTCCTTTTTAGACCCTATGAAGCAAATATTGCCTCTACAAACTTTGGTGTCTTTATCTTGCTGGACCTTTTGTTGCTCTGTTCAAATAGTTTCACTTATCTATGTATATGTAGCGTGACATTAAAAGACAAATTTTATGTCAGAGGCTTGACGAAAGCAGTCTTATTCTTTTTCTTTTCCACCATTACGGTTCTATTTCCTTAACTAGATTGGAAGTTCTTAGTTTTATCTTGTCTAGAGTGTCTATTCAGCCATTTTAGCCACATACTCAGTTACATGATCACATCTCAATAAAATGTTTTCAGAACTGTACACAGTTATTTGCTGTTAGGTGGAGCTAATACAAATACTTTCTCTCAAGTCCCATAGATTCAATTTCCCTGGAATGAAAAATGATTTTTTTTTTTAACTTGGCTTTTTTCCTTTTTACTAAACTTCAGAGTCCTAACTGCTGAAATCTGCACTGGCAACAAAAATTGATTTCTCTATTCCCTTCTTCCCCTCTTTCCAGAGCCCATCCCAGACATGCCTGCCCTCCTACCATGATAGTGTGCTAGGAGAAGAATGAGTCTCCAGGTACCACACCTACAGCAGGCAAGTTAGCTACACCCACATTCTGTTTCCATCAACATCTAACAATGAGAAAGTTAGCTGCTGATGAGAAACATTAGGCTATGAACACCAACCAACCTTCTTTACCTTTAGTTTACACTGTCAAATTTGAGCCATCCTCCACTCTTCAAATCTCTTTGCTTGTAGACTAGTTAACATTTCCTGGATGCACTACTCTCTGTTTCTGTGGTCTGTGGGACAAAGAAGGGGCCCACTGCCAAATAGTCATTTGACTTATCACGTTTGGTTTAATTTGTTATCCATCTGCACAAGTGCTACACAGATGAATCCATTCTTAAACATTGACAAACTTCACTGATTACTCAAATGTTATTTTTAGACAACTCTTTTCTTTATCCACAGGGGATATGGCATCGGAACACGGTTAGTGGAAAACTTTTTGGCACGAACTTGTGTAAGACGATGCCACAGTTATTCAGAAATTACAGACATAATTGCCCAGGTAAACATATTTTTAGCTCTGTCAATATGTTTTGAAAATCTTTGATTCATCCTGAGTTTGGTGGTTTTCTGCTCTATCGAACAGGTTCCATCTGTATTTGTTTTTAGGTGCTAAGAGAGGAGATTCTGATCAAAAAGCATTTTATTTTAGCACAGAGATAGGCTATTGTGAACAGAGACAAATTCTTCCAAGCATTTAAGCATCTATTGATTTTTCTGACCAAATGGTATATGTGGGCTATATGTCCCACGCTGGGAAAAACGTTTTGAGAAGGTAAACAGAATGGAAGTGTAATAAGACAGCCTTATAGCATGCATGCCCCAAACCAATTTCTTTACATAATCATTTTCAGCACATAGAAGGAGATAGCCTGTGACTGTCTTAGAGAATATTGTAGCCATTTCAGTCTCGGAGCAATGTTTTCCCAAGAGAAAAATAAAGCTTCCTGTATATATACGTGTTCTAAGAACTTTCACAACCCCGATATATGAGAGACAACTTGAAATCATCCGAGATTAACTCAAATTTCTTATAAGATGAGACTGGGAAATGCATCCTTAGCCAGAATTCCTTTAATCTGCAGGCCTATGGTTATGAACCTCTTATTGTTCATTTGTGGGAGACCTAGAAAGTATGTATGGAAGGAGGTATTATAAGGGCCAGGCTTGCTGCCTGCAGGTTCTCACAACTGACCAATTAAGTCGACTTCACTCTTCTTTTCTCTCCTGATCCTTAATATTGATATACATTGCCATACTGACTCTTCGCATTAATTGCAATAATAATTCTACACAACACTTTGTGATTCTAAATGTTATTTTACATAGCTTTTATCTTTCATCTTTGCAGTATCCCTGTGAAGTAGGCAAAGTAGGAGTTGGTATCCTCATTTCCCAAACAAGAAAACCGAGCCCCAGAAAGAATATGATAGAAATTAAATACAAGTATATTTGAAAAATAATTGTACATTAAAAAATACAACCCAAATGAACAAATTTTCCAGTTAGTATTACTTTCATTATTTCATAGCTAATGAATCATGTGGCTGAAATTGAAATCTAGGTCTTCAAGTCTTAATGCAGTGAGTTTGCCACACTACTAAATTTCCCTTTTTCCCTTCCGTATTTGCAGAATATCACTAAGATCCTGAAGCAGTAGTTTGAAAAATAAAATAATTTTTACTTAACTAATTCTATGGGCAGTACTACAAGAATTCTAGTTATTTTAATGGAAAGTAAATATTTGAAATATATAAATGTACATGGTTGTGTCCTATTTCTGTAAAAATGCCACTGGAGTTTCAATGGGGATTGTATTGAATCTACAGATCACTTTGCATAGTATTGACATTTTAACACTACTAAGTCTCCCAGTCTATGAACATAGGATGTCATTTCATTTGTTTATGTCTCATTTAATATCTTTCATCAGTGGTTTATAGTTTTCAGTATCCAAGTCTTTCACCTCCTTCACTAAATTTATTCCTAGGTATTTTATCCTTTTTTGGTGTTATCGTAAATGAGATTGTTTTCTTAATTTCTTTTTTAGATAGTTTGTTGTTAGTAAGTAGAAATGACTGGTTTTTCTTTGTTAATTTTGTATCCTGCAACTTTTCTGAAATAATTTCTTAGTTTTAACAGTTTTTTTTTTGTGTGTGGAGTCTTCAGAGTTTTCTACATATGAGATCATATCATCTATAAAAAGATATAATTCTACAACCTTCTTTCTAGTGTGGATGCCTTTTATTTCTTTTTCTTGTCTAATTGCTCTCTGGCTAGGACTTCCAGTACTGTGTTGAGTAGAAGTGATAAAAGTAGGTATTCTTACATTTTTCCTGATCTTAGAGAAAAAAAAATTCAATTTTTCACCATTGAGTATGGCACTGGGGAAAGGATAATCTCTTTAACAAATGGTTCTGGGGAAAACTGGATATCCACATGCAAAAGAATGGAATTGGACCCTGATCTCACACTATCCACAAAAATGAACTCAAAATGGATTCAAAACTTCCACTCATGCAATATTCCTTCTTATCAATGAAGAGAATATTTTGTTACCCTTACTCTTCTTTTATACAGAGGGATTATGGCCTGGTCTTTAAACTTTCCTTCAAAGGCCTGATTTCTTCCCTCTTAATCATTTTCCCTTCTCTAGCAAAATGTTCTTTTACATGTGGGAATGATGTCACCCAATCCAGGAGCGTTTTAACACAAATGAGGGGTTAGATTTTAGTATATACTCACCCACTGATACCTTGCTTATAATTAGCTGCTTTCATTTAAAAGTCTGGCCTTGGGCAGCATTATCTCATTACTCCTTGTAAACTCTCCTCAAAGGAGGCAGGTGTCAAATGTTACAGAGCTGGTTTTATGGAGAAGTAGGCAAGGTCAGAGGAAGTTTACCATGGTCACATGCTGCCCCTGGAGCATAGCAGAGTCAGGAATTCAATCTATAGGTTTTAATTTTGTTTGGCTGCCTTCTCACACCATGTACTTATATCAAACACTACCAACATCCTTCTCAATACTGAGCACCTATATACACAGAACTAATTATCTCTGTCCTGATTCCAGAGAAGGAAAGAGGGAAGTAGAGAAAGAACGCATTTGAAGAGAATTGACTAGATGAAGAAACCTATGTCTAGATGAGTGAAGTGAGACTTCTAAGAGCTCATTAGTGAAAGGCTGCAAATCGGAACAGGTCTCCTGACCTCATGCTCTACTCTACACTCTTCTGCCTTTGGGAGAGGAAGATTATGTAACTTCAGTTATTAATAACATTCCCCTCTCTCTTGTTTTCTTCATTTTGCCTTTTCCAAAGGGCAAGTAACTATCTCTAAGCTTCTGAGAAATTATTTTGACAGGCTATAGACCTCAAATTGCGCCATCTCGTGGTATGAAAAGAATTCCCATAACAGTAACCAAATTATTGATTAAAAAATTTTTTAGTCAGCCTTATATTTTATATATTAAAGAAATGACAGACTAATTCTCAAATAATCTTCCTGCAACATTACAATATAACTGCTTTTAAATGTGATTTTATTATATACTAGTCAACTTTTTGTGCTGATTGCCTCAAAATATAACAAATTTTAAATAAGACATATAATTTATAAAATTGTTAGTGTTATGATATTGAAAAAGTTTAGTAATACAGAGCCTTTCTGAAGAAAAGCTAGAAGCAATTCCCATCTATTATCTATTTTTTTCCTTACAAGAGCCTTGTGAAGTAAAGAGAGCATCTATTATGAGCCCCACTTTACTGATGATGTAATTGACTAGATGACATCATCATGGACACAGTAAGAAAAGCCAGCTTAGAATTTTTTTCTGACGTGATTCCAGATTTGCTTTTTCAAAAAAAAATAATTGTTTCTTTAAAATATACCTTTGAAGATTTTCTCCTATTATGATTATTGTTTTGAGAAAAATGGAATTGTGGAATTTACAGTAGAGTTGTCTTAGCTAATGGAATTTATAATTTTTCAGTATAAACATGATGTCATTAGTATTGCCACAGTAAGATGAAATTTTTATATAGAGAAAAACATGATATAAAATATATGATATATCAAAATATTATTAAGACTTGAAATTCTGATCTTTGGGTAAAAAATTGGAACCCAATATATTGTACTTGTTGGAATTTTAGGAAGGAAAAATGTGATCTTTTCCATTTAATAGTATACATTGAAATTTTACCTTAAATAATACAAGTGATGTTTTTTTTTTTGGTGATATAAAATAATTGAAAGGAAACGTTCATAAGGAGGCAATATGAATGAAAATGCCTAAAGCAAGGAAGGAAATCTAAATGGTGAATGTTGTGAGCAAAAGATTTAGGAATATGATCCAGAGAGGAATCTAAATGGCAAAGAAGATTTTTCGATGGATGAGTCATTTTTATTTCAATAAAATGGTTCATTTAATAAAAGAATTTAATCATCATAGAAGAATTCCAGCAAATCATACTAGTTATTTTTTTAATCTTGCTTCTGATCCAAATGCATAAAACTGTCACAGCTGAATCTATACAAGTTAATCAAATATTTTGAAGCCTTGAACTCCCAAGTCCCTTTAGATAGTGACAGAAATCGCCATACAGGTTTGTACTCAGAAGCACATTCAAATCTGACTTGATTAGACATTTTCAAAAGGGTGGGGTGTGCTTGCCTTGGAAAGAGAACCAATCAGGAGGCAGAAACCACACAATTATTTTAGCAGGGAAGGTTCAAGGTTCACACACACACTATTTATAGGGGATCAGCTACTAAGAAAGAAAAAATGCTGACGAGTACCCTAATACTGAGAGGGAATATCCAAAGAGGGAACACATTTTGAAGAGGGTCTCTCTTCCCAAGGCTGGAGTTCAAATGTTTTTGAAGAGGGTATAATTGTAGCCCATGAAAGGTGGAAAAAGCCTTTCGGTTCCCAGACTGAGACTGGTAGGCAGGAAGCTATGGATCGAAACTGATAAGCAGGGAACCCCCACTGGAGTATAAGTGGGCTGACACTGGCAGTGAGGCTATCATGGGCCAGCACTAGCTAGCTGGAAAGTTAGGGCCGCTGGGTATCCACGCACTGCCAGTCATTTCCAGTAGGAGTAAATCAAGAAAAGTCACACTAGAGCTAGAAAAAGTAGTCCCTTCCTCCCGCTCTGTTTCTACAGAACTTCCTAATGGCAAATATTTGCAAAATCTAGCTTTGGCATTAGAAGCAAGGCAATAAAGAGTGGTTTTGGAAATGAGAGGCAATAATCCAACAACCGGCAGTAAAGGCCTGAGCCATTGTGATTGTTACTTACATTTCTATGGCTATTTTTTTTACTTTGGTGGTCTCGTGTTTGACCCTATCCAAACTGCTCGCCCACACAGGAAATAATCTCACCTCTAAGTGCATTTTTACCTGGCTTTTTCTCTTTTTCTAAGTCTTTCTTTCCTTCCTTCCTTTCTTCCTTCCTTCCTTCCTTTCCAAATAAAATTTCTTTTTTCTTTTTTT